CACTGGAAAGAAAAACAATAGCTGATAGTATGAGTAAGTTAATAAGAAAATGTTTCAGCCAGATTAGGCTATTCACTTGAGTGAGTGATTTACTCAAAGTCATATAAGGCAATTGTGATCTTGTAATGACATGAGTAGAAACAGTGATATTTGATTTTCAAGGCTGACTGTTGTTATAGTCCCAAAGTTACTACATCTAAATTATTACTGTATTCATGAAAAAATAATACCGTTACTCCTCATGTCAAGACTAGAAAAACTGACCTTGCCAATAGAAAATGTACAATAGCTGTATAGCTACAGCTCTACATATGTCAATAGTTCATGGGGACCTGTCATTATTAATTTTGAGGATCCAATATGTCATGGGCTTGAGCCTCAGTTACAAGAATTTTGCTATCAGTTAAGGCCTCTACTGAAATTTCCTTGATAGCATTAAGTTTGTCTTGAAAGTATACATTACGTGGGCCCTTCCATATGGTTATGATGACAATGGCATTTTCCACATTAGCCCCCTTGAGAAGAGTGTTAATATGAGTCCCAGTACCATACGATCCATCATCATCGTGGCCTTCTGTGGTCGGTTTGCCAGGGGGTGATACACGGTAGGAATACACATTGTGGGTGGCAGTTGCAAGGCTTCTGTCTTGGTAGATCTTGGCAAGAGCGGTTTTGGCTTCAGCTTCAGATTTAACCTCCATTACGTGGGCCTTAAGCCTTGTGCCATTAATGTTTCTGACCGTAGACTGATGCAGCTTTCTGTCCAGGATGGCACTATCAAGTAGGGTATCTACTGGCAGAGTGTTCTTGTTGAAGTTTGGGTTAACAACACAGTTGTTAAGGTAGAGAGTATCATTTTTCAGAGATACCTTCTCTTTCTTTTCCTTTAACTCCTTAAAGAGTGGGTATTGGGCATTCCTTCTGCTTGACATGTCAGCTGGCAACTGGTCTTGGATAGAGAAATTACTGCCTCGCAGATTTCTGGCATAAGACATGACCAGTTCCTTACTCGATCGGTCCTTGAAGACAACAACTATTGGCTTGTTGCCTTGAATTGGGGCACCAAAACGATGGGCAATGTCCACTTTAATTTTGCCGTTTAGGAATTCTTCAGATTCAATTAGTGGACGGGGGATTTTCATATCCTCACAGAGAAATCGTATTACGATGGCCTTACTCTGGTTCATATCCTCATGGGTGGAGGGCTGGGGTAGGTTTTTAATAATAGCATTTCTCTTCATGCTCCTGAATCTGATATCGCATATATCATCCTTGACTTCAGATTGAGATGTCTCCAATCTTGCAGATCGACCATCAAGCGTTGATATTAAGTCCATCAAGTGCTTATTTTCGTTTTCAAGCTCTGTAATTTTCACATTTTGTTTTTTGTTACAGGCTTTTAGTGATTTCATTTCCTGCTCCAGTGCAATAACTCTGGCTTCCATACTGGTGGCTTGTGGACTTCCTGAAAACTTGCGTTTTTTCTGTACTTTAGGTGTAGACATACAGAATGATCAGTCCCCAGTTGACAAAATGGCAAAAAGTTATGTGGGATATATCCTCAATATTTATGTGTAGAGTTCAGCTTGTATATTGGCAGTTTACCTATGCCTTGTTCATGACTATAATCCTAGTATATTCATAGACAATCCAGTGGTAGTTTGATATAGTGTAAACTGTGCTAATCCATATAAAATACTGTATAAGCAGGAGCAACTATTTATCCAACTTCACATATCACATGCTATATCAAATTTGCTTTATATCAGGGGGGATTTCCCATAGATTTTTTGACCTTTGCTATTGGCACGTTAGATAACCAATTTTATAAACTGACCTCATTTGCCATTGAAATGATACTAGTACTGTATCCCAATGTTTGCTGTTGCTTTATGAGTTTTCTTTACAAGTTTGGATCGAGTTATAGTACTTCAATAGTACTGTGCAACTCCATGACTTTACTATGCGCATGCGCGGTAATGAAAGAGCATGTGCGCATGATTGTTCACGTGATCGTCGCCTGCAATTTGATTGGACATCATATACTGGGGAATCCCCGAATACGATAAAATACAGTATGAAGTACTATTGGCTTGTTGCCTTGAATTGGGGCACCAAAACGATGGGCATGCAATGTCCACTTTAATTTTGCCGTTTAGGAATTCTTCAGATTCAATTAGTGGACGGGGGATTTTCATATCCTCACAGAGAAATCGTATTACGATGGCCTTACTCTGGTTCATATCCTCATGGGTGGAGGGCTGCACAGCGCTGCCACAGCGCTGTCGCAGCGCTGTGACAGCATATAGGCTTAAACTGATGGCTGGATCAATTTCAGCGACAATGCTCTCACATCCATACGCTGCGAGAACGCTGTGAGAGCGCTGTCACAGCATTGTATTTCCATCCATCGCTGCGAGAGGGATGTGACAGTAATTAAGTGGCTGGATCAATTACAGCAACATGCTATCTTAGCCAGAGTTTGTGGCAGCGCTCTCACAGCGCTCTCACAGCCCTCTCACAGCAGGAAGTACCAATGCATTGTGGGTTAAAAAATTCAAACTGAAAATCAGTTAGAGCAGGAAGTTTGTAGGAGGAAAAAGCAAAGGAATTATGCTGAAATGGCCATCATATCATTACTGATTTATAAAGCACATGTAAGGTATTGTACTACTGATTATTTATAGATACCTTTGGAATGTTTTAGTGATCTAAGGAAAAGGATCAAATGATATGAATTTTGTGCAAGTTAGTACTGGTTAAACTAGAAGTCTGAAATATCAATGTATATAGTCCATATAAACTATATGTCCATATAAAGACTTGCAGATGAACTTTGTAATTTCAGAAAATTCCAGGTTGGTTCACATTTGATAAGTTGAATGGGTTAAATGACTTTAAATATGTATGCAAAAATGCCAAAGGAAAGGACCAAAAATTGTTGCAGAACCCACCCAGACATAAGAAAAAAACATGTTGGGCCTGAAGCCAATGAGGGGGTCACCTTTCAGAAAATTCACAGTTGGTTCACCCCTCCTCCCTCTCCTGCCAGTCATAAGGAAAACAAACTCCAGCTAATTTCATGGCCAGTTCATTTAAATATGAATATAAATGAGTTGGTCATGAATTAGTAGGTTAATCCATCAGCCAACAACCAGCAGTTGGATTGGCAAATGTAAGCTAAGTCGATCAAGTCAAAGAGAGTAATTGTTTATGAAACTTGTCAAATAAATATAGTACAATAACGTCATTTCTAAGGGCAATATAGTGAAATATTGGGCCGAGGGTATGTATGCAGCAAAAATAGTGACTGGCCAGGTTTAACAGTGTGACTGGTAAGATGTAACAGCTATTTTTTAATTTTGATTACCTATTACTAGTATTACAAGCCTAGAATCTACTTTTTCCATGCTGAATTTGAAATTTATAATTTGGAACGTTTTAAAGATATTTAAATTTATAGGCTATAGGTAATTAAGATTTATGTGTATGAAGGATACATAATCAATGCCATATATGGCAATGCTGTGACAGCGCTGTCGCAGCCTCATTTGCATGGTACATTCCGATGGGCTGTCACAGCGCTTTGAGAGCGCTGTCACAGCGCTGTGAGAGCGCTGTCGCAGCGCTGTGACAGCGGGCTGTGAGAGCGCTGTGAGAGCGGGCTGCGAGAGCGCTGTGACAGCGTGCTGCGGGAGCGCTGTGACAGCAGGCTGTGAGAGCGCTGTGACAGCGGGCTGTGACAGCCAGTAAATTTGTATAAGGGTGGGGTAGGTTTTTAATAATAGCATTTCTCTTCATGCTCCTGAATCTGATATCGCATATATCATCCTTGACTTCAGATTGAGATGTCTCCAATCTTGCAGATCGACCATCAAGCGTTGATATTAAGTCCATCAAGTGCTTATTTTCGTTTTCAAGCTCTGTAATTTTCACATTTTGTTTTTTGTTACAGGCTTTTAGTGATTTCATTTCCTGCTCCAGTGCAATAACTCTGGCTTCCATACTGGTGGCTTGTGGACTTCCTGAAAACTTGCGTTTTTTCTGTACTTTAGGTGTAGACATACAGAATGATCAGTCCCCAGTTGACAAAATGGCAAAAAGTTATGTGGGATATATCCTCAATATTTATGTGTAGAGTTCAGCTTGTATATTGGCAGTTTACCTATGCCTTGTTCATGACTATAATCCTAGTATATTCATAGACAATCCAGTGGTAGTTTGATATAGTGTAAACTGTGCTAATCCATATAAAATACTGTATAAGCAGGAGCAACTATTTATCCAACTTCACATATCACATGCTATATCAAATTTGCTTTATATCAGGGGGGATTTCCCATAGATTTTTTGACCTTTGCTATTGGCACGTTAGATAACCAATTTTATAAACTGACCTCATTTGCCATTGAAATGATACTAGTACTGTATCCCAATGTTTGCTGTTGCTTTATGAGTTTTCTTTACAAGTTTGGATCGAGTTATAGTACTTCAATAGTACTGTGCAACTCCATGACTTTACTATGCGCATGCGCGGTAATGAAAGAGCATGTGCGCATGATTGTTCACGTGATCGTCGCCTGCAATTTGATTGGACATCATATACTGGGGAATCCCCGAATACGATAAAATACAGTATGAAGTACGGTAAAGTTATTATGGGAGCTACGCACTTTTGCTTTAATATTAAAAATGACGATGCAATAGAGGTTGATATGCAGCTTGCCGATGATAAAGATCCCAGTTATTGTAAATCTCATCCAAATATGACATCAGGTAAGTGCAATGCCTGTACATCTAACTTAATTTACACACGAGTAGCTCGAGAATTCCTGGAATAGTAATGAATTTCCAACTTGTGAAATTCGCGAAATTTAATAGCCGCGAAATCGTGTTTTCGCAAAATTCGCGAAATTAAATCTCGCGAATAATACCGGGCGTACAGTAGCTTCTTTATGCCATGATGAAATGTGACACATGAATTTATTTATGATTTTCAGCTATGAGAAGTCTGAGACTCACAGGTTTGAGGTTCCAAGGATGTTGTTTGATGACACACAGATGTTAGAGAACTATATTGTCAAGAATAAAGACAAGTAAGCATTTACAGATCATCCAGATTTGTTGATGGGTTTGATTTGTTAGTTAAATCATTTAATAAATCATGAAGTACATTTACCAAACAAGTACAAAAAAATGAAGTACATTTCAGAAAAAAGTAAAGCCAGGCCCCAAAAATAGAATATGTACAAATGTTTGCTGAACTTGTATTCCTGACAAATAAATCTTATAATCTTTAGGCAGTTGCGTAAATGGTGGGCCCAATATATGGAGAGTGCAGGAGAAATGGAGACAGCTTTACAGTTCTACGAGGCTGCAGCCGACTATCTCTCTCTAGTGAGAGTCTACTGTTACTGTGGCAACCTTGACAAGGTACGTAACTGCTTATAATTCTAAACCTATAGACTTTCCAATATGGCTGCTTAATTCAAAATGGCAACAACTGTTTCATAAAAATAGAATTTTTGATAACTCAAATACCAATGTCAGATTTTATGTGCTCAAGAAGAAATTTTCAATATTGCTACTGAATTCAAAATGACCACCATTATTTAGAAGAAATGATTGTTGAAATCAAAACCTTATGGGCATAAACCTCTTCTTGACAACGAATGCCTTGTCAAGGGTGTAGATTTTGAAAAAAGGAGACAATACTACAGTCTGGTTATTTCTAACATGAAATATTCAAAATGATGTCATTGATTTGTGATATGTCATTGTCAGGATAAAATACGTTTTTTTGCTGCTATTTAATATGTTGAAAGGTTGATAATCTGATTTAATTATATTGGATGTGTAGCAGTTGGTCAACATAATGGAACAAAAATCATGTCTTGTAGGCAGCTGAGATCTGTAATGAGACTGGGGACAGGGCAGCGTGCTATCATCTAGCCAGACAATATGAGAACAACAATGAAATCAAACAAGCCATTCACTTCTTCACTAGGGCCCAGGCTTATGGAAATGCCATACGACTATGCAAGGTCGGTAAAAATATTATAGCCTTTGTTAGGACTAGATAGTTAATTAAATAGAATTTACAATTTAAGATATCTTTATCATCTATGAAAACAAACCAGAATACTGCTTGCACAATTTTGCTTATACAGGGTGGGCCAAAAAAACGCCACTTTTTTTTCAAGACACTACAACTTTTTTTATTATTTATTTTTCAACCTACATACCCAAAATTTTGCAGTTATATAGTGCCAAGGGTTCTTAGTAATAATATAATGTATCAAGTCCTTCAACTTGGATTATATTTTATCTAAAAAGGGGAGTACAATTGGTCCGCCACCCTAATTAATGATATATTTTAGTTTTAGTCGCATTGCTGATATTGCAGTATCAATGAAATGTTTTTTTCAACCTGTCTTAATTGCCAGCTTTAGTTGAGCAATTTTCTAGATTGGGTGCCTTCATACAATCTCCTGGAGACCTTCCCATACCCTATACTCACTGGGGTTTGCATCAGGGCTATTAGCTTGGCGATCATCAGGCCGTATCAGTTCAGGAACATTTTGCAAATTATGCTTATTTCTCATGGCACACCACATGTTTAAGTGAGACGCTGGTGACATATTTTATTCAAGTAAAAGTGTATAATTCATGATCCATGGTAGATAACAACCTCAAGTTTCATTTGGTATGCAAATTATGATTAAATATCAAAAATTAAAAAAGTTATAGCATTTTGAAAAAAAGTGGCATTTTTTGGCCCACCCTGTATTTTCTAATTTAACCAATATTTCAAACATCTTCATGTAATCTGTTAAAGACAATAAATATAACTTGGGGTAAAAAATACAGCACATGTAAATTGTGTTATAATGATACATAGATGATAAAACATCACTTTATTGCATATTTCTTATTTCTATCTATAGGGCCCTTCATATATTTGATATCTCAAAAAACAGTTGTCAAATTTATGAACAGAGTAGATTGCAAATATTGATTTTCAGATTTGTGCCTATAATAAGCGCCAAAATAGTCGCTCAATGTGGAATGCATCTCACTGTTTCGCCTTGATTCCGGATTGAAAGGCATGTGAGAGCGTGAATTTAAAACAGTAATTTGTATATCTCTTCAATATATGGCTATATTATACTCAAATCAATGCTTACTGATTTAATGAGTAGAACAGAATGGACAGTTGGACAGAATGTCAGTACAAATGCACACACCTTTTGTTCGTGCTTTGTATGACATTCTGTCCAACTCATGCTGAATTTCACCATATTGAATGGCCTATCATCATATCCAAAAAATAAAAATGTGAATCATAAAGTAGCTAATAATTACAAAAATATTAAAGAATGGATTTGAATCCCTAGGAATGATGGGGATTCTTGTAACTGTAACTGTTCTGTTTGAAATAGAATTGAAACTTTAAATTTGCACGAGATGCGCAGCAGGGAGTGTTTTAAGAAACATCACCTGAAAGGAATGTTCATTCCACAATGCATTGGTTCTTGGGCTTAAATTCTTTTCACACATTGCAAAATATCTACTAATATTGTCACTTAAAATACACGCAATCACTAAAAGAACATATTTTCAATGAAACTTTTTGCAAGGGTCAAGTTGGCAAAGTATCAATTTCAATATGTAGAGTTGAGTTGTCACCTTTATAACCACATAGATATTGGATGTGGTGATTAGTTATATTATGTACTGCAGTTATATGAATTACTGTGTTTGGATTGGCTGGAATCGGACACACCTTACCTAGCTATGTGTGAATAATAATTAATAAAATGGTTAATATATTTAAAAATTTCATGTGGATAATAATCTGTTCTGTAGAGTGCTTTGTTCAAAATCTATTTTTGCTAAAATTATGTTGGAATTACATTACTCCATTTTTTCTGAAAGTTAATTATAACTTCCTTTTTAGTTCTTGGGTCATCTTTTCCTGCTTTCTTAGATATATAGATCACGATCAGATGAAAACGTTTCTATATGAATACTCTTGTAATCATTATGCTCTAGTGTGCTCTAATTTTGACTGTAAATCTAAACTGTGATTTTTATAAAAACTATACCTCCTGAGTACGTACCTGTGCTCTTTGTGACAGCCTTAGGCTTCACTAATGCAAAGCAACCAACGCCTTTTTGTAAGTGAACAAACACATAATTATGTGATGGTGAGATTCTCAGAACTCACAGACTTGTTACCTTATAAGGTAACAAATACACATTGAGTTCATGACATTCAACTTCTCAGAAGCAGGAAGTAAGTTGAGAATAACAGCTATAAAACTTGATTTAATGGTTCATGTTAAAATATAGATTCTCTTTTGTTTAGGAACCTCCTCTGTATTGATCTTTATGGATTTGTATGAATTATCAATGTTGCTAAGTTGAATTGATTTTCTGAATGTCTAGCTCAGTAAGCTGAAATTGTTTAGTCTCATGTATATTTTTTTAATGGTTGTCAATCAGGTTATAACTTTTTGTGAATTTGATAAAAATAGTTTCCTTTACAGGAATGTATTTCCAACTATTCTGACCCTAAAGACATGGCTGCGCTGACCGCTTCTACTGACAGGTTGTCAGGCCTTCTCATAGCTTCAACTTTTAATAAATTTCCCCTTTTTTAATTACTCTTTTTATGTCACCACCAAAACGTGGTGACATATTTTTATGGTCTCCGTTTTTTTCAAGTTTTTTAAAATCATATACAAGTTTTCAAGTTTTCAAAAATTTGACCTTCACTGACCTTCAAGGTAAAAAAAGTTAAAAAAGTTATTTTTCAACTTGCTCCAAATTGCCTAATTTTCTTTCAAATCATCTACAAGTTATCAGAAATTCAAATCTAACTTTATATTTGAGATTTGACCTTCAGTGGCCTTCTCAAGGTCAGAAGGGACAAAAAGTTCTTTTTTCAACTTGCTTCAGATTGACTAATTTTTTTCAAAATCATCTACAAGTTCTTAGAAATTCAAATCTGACTTAAGATTGAACTAATAATATTGTAAGAAACTAGGTGGTGACATTTTGTCATATTAATGCCTTGTTCAAAATTCTATATTTTTGTTATCTTGTCCTGATAGGCAACTGGACATTTGAACAGAAGGACATAAATCTCGTAATCAAAATTTCAGGATAAGAACTTATCAGGTTCAACTTGAAATTTTTACAGATATCACAGCATACTAGTGCCAAGATCTGCTTAGGTTTTGGGCATGCTGGGCAAGTTACATGGGGGCCATTCTGATATTTAGCACTGTGTGTCTTGTTTGATAACATCTTTGAGTACTTAGCATCGCAAAGTTGACTGGAGTCATCTTGTTCCATCTCAAAATGCATTTGACCATAAAAAATCTCTAATGAGTATTGAAATTTAATTCATTATATTAATCGAATATAGAAGAGAACTGAGAATGACAAGTGGTATTTTAGCATATTTATACAGGCATCACAAATATTTAGTTAGTGCTTTCTTAGGTTTTGAAAAGATTTTTGAATAAGAAGTCAAACCAGCCTTTAACCTTGATGTGTATTTTAGTGTGCACTTTTCAATGAACTATTTCAATGAAGTATTTTTTAATACAAATAACATCAGAGTCAGAGTTTTATGTTTACTTCTATTCAACAAAGGTAATTTTCTTTTACACAATTCTCTCAATGATAGTTAAGATGTTCCTGCTTATTTTTATTGCACCCTTGGGTACTATATTGTAATCAGTTTGCCAGGCTTAGGGGTGGGCGGTTGGGCGGGCATCCCAATAAATCTCATCTACAGGTTTCCATCCAAACCATTACTGGGATTCATCTGAAATGTTCAGGTATGTTTCAGCATATGAAAGCTTAGAACTGATTACTTTTGGGGCATTCTGGGTAAATGTTGTTAAGGAGGCCTTTTCGGATTTTCTGTCCTTAAATCTTGTTTGCTGATGCTTGTCTTCAGGCTTCCAGCCAAATCGTCTCATGGATTCAACTGAAATTTTCAGGGATGTTTCTAGGTATGAATGTTTTGAACTGAATAATTTTTGGGCATTCTGGGTAAATGCCAAGGTGGTCATTTTGGATTTGATGAGTTTTTTTGGGGCAATCTGGGTAGGTAAATGTTAGGGTGGCTATTTTGAATTTTCCATCTGAAAGCTGTATTCTATTCTAGGGTGCGATCCTGTTCACTCTGTGTCTTGTTTTTTACACCTGAAGCCAGATAGTTTCCCAGCAGTTTAGGAGGCTGCCTTGGTATCGAATGACCCTTGACATGCAAGGTGACTTTTGCTTTTGACTTTAAATTGACAGACCTTCTACAGAATTACCAGATACAATAGTTGTAAGTTATCTTGGTGTAAAATACTTGAGATAAGATCCTTAGTGAAGATTCTAGTAGTTGAACAAATGGTCAAAATTTGATGAAAATAAATGTAGATTCAGTTTTAGTTCAGTAAAAGAAATGCATCGGCCTCTCAGGTAATTAGAAAAACAAATCCCAGGGGATTTAATTGAATTTTTGCCATTTTACCAAAATCACAAAGTGGGCAAAATTAAATCATACATGAAAAATGAACTTGATTCTCAGTTATGATCCTTGACCTTCAACACATATTTTGATACACATACATTTAATAAGCCATAACCTTGACTGCGTCTGTAACAAATTCTTAAAACTTCCAAACTTAACAAATACTGTTTAGACTGTCTTCAATTTTTTTCAAAATCATCTACAAGTTATCAGAAATTCAAATCTGACTATACATTTAATATTTGACCTTCTGTGACCTTTTCAAGGTCAAAAAAGGTCAGAAAGGTATTTTTCAACTTGCTTCAAACATCTACATGTACAAGTACAAGTTATCAGAAGTTCAGTACTGACTTTGAATTCAAATTTGACCTCCAATGTCTTTCTCGAGGTCAAGAAAAGGTCAAAAAGATATATTTTCAACTTGCTTCAAATTGACCAATTTCTTTTTTCAAAATCATCTATAGGTTCTCAAAAGTTCAAATCTGACTATAGATTTGACCTTCAATGACATTCTTAAGGTCAAAAAAGATTTGACCTTCAATGACCTTCTCAAGGTCAAAAAGGTCTTTTTCAACTCCCTTCAAATTGACAAATTTTTTTCAAAATCATCTACAGAGTTCTCAGAAATTCAAACCTGACTTAAGATAGAACTACATGTAATAATATTGTTAGCAACTAGGTGGTGACATTTTGTCATGTTAATGCCTTGTTAAATCTGCCATTAACTTCCTTGAAATATGAACACCTGCCAATCTGAACACTTTTGGCCTGCTCCAGTTGTCTTTGGACTAGACGAGTCTTACTATATTTTTTGCTCTCATATTTAAGGAGAACGAGTATGAAGACCAGTTGATGAACCTGGCCCTTGTTAGCAGCCCAGTGCACATGATAGAGGCAGCTAGGTACTATGAGAACAAACACGATGGCATGGACAAAGCAGTAATGCTATATCATAAGGTAACTATTACTAAAGTGTAAAGCTTCATGGAGTTTTGAAAAACTGGACTTACATAATGTCTGAGTTTTGATTCTTTTTTTTATTTTATTTTTATTTCTGTTTATTAAGTCATGTTACAAATACATGTTACATTATATGATAGTGTCACATATTTTCCAAAATTGACGGTAAAATACATTTTTTCTTATAGCTCATTTCCTTCTTCAAAGAGTGTAATATAACATCTAAATTTCTGACATTATTGTCATTTATCTGTCCTAGGTATGATTCTAAGTTCATCTAGAGTTGAGGTCAAAGTTTCTGTAGTTTTGTTTTTGGATAGTCTGTAAAATTAGCAGTAAACTTGTGGCTATTTCACCAATGCATGTTTAGAGAATATAATTTTCTAATTTAAACAATGTCGAAAAGCATCATATGCAAATGATTTTATCACTTATCCAACAAAATGGTTAAGTCATATTCTGTTTTATACAGTAATAAGTCCCTATACTATCCATTGTTTATTTCAGGGTGGGAATTTTGCCAAAGCACTAGATCTTGCATTCCAAAGTCGTCAGTTAGGGGCTCTCCAACACATTGCAGAGGACCTCACTGACACTACTGACCCTGAACTGCTGCAGAGGTGTGCTGACTTCTTCATGGAGAATGGACAGTTCGATAAAGCAGTGGATCTGCTTGCAGTAGGCAAAAAGGTAAGACAATATAGTGTACCATTCTGTTATAGATTATGAAGCTTGATGCTGCTTTTCAAATCGGAAATTGTGGTGTGTACACCCCCAAAATGCAATCTGATTTTCGACACGGTTTCGGCACCAAATGGACTGACTAGTCCGGTGGCAAATTTTGGTGTTGAAAGGTTTCAGTGCCGGAACAGTGTCGAAACGTTGCAGGAACAGCGCCAAATTTTTTTGATGCCGACGGCGCCGAATTTTATTGGCTGTGTAGCAGGGAGAATAGAATGTCATAAAATTCTAGAAATGTTAGATCAGTTCCATTCACTATTATTTTTGGGAAAATATAAAAAAACTGAATTTTCATTACAACATACATCAACCATAATTTTGATTATACAATGTACTTTGAATTAGATATCATCCTTATCCATCGTTAGTTTAAATTGTTTATAAATGGTGTGGCTAAAGATGCCCAAATAATCCCCAGTATACTGGGCTGTATTTTGTACATCTGTGATTTCTAGTACATCGAGGCCCTAAAACTATGCCACCAACACCAAGTGCCAATGACAGAGGAACTAGTAGAGAAACTGACACCTGCTAAAGGGGTGGCTGAGAATGAAACTGATGAGAGAAACAGGTAGGTGATCTATTAATGCTTCATCTAATCATTTAGTTCTAGCTTTTTCTTCAGATGATTTAATCTATTAGTCTAACATTGATTTATTTGTAATGTTTTGTCCACATTATCATTGAATTAGAACAATTTAGGTTTTGATTAGTATTAGAAATACTAGTATATGTTTTATTTTAAAAATTATACTGGTTTTCTTGAAGAAAGATGGCATGATCTTAATTGAACTTTTTCTTTACACTCTAGGATATTAGAAGGAATAGCTGAAGTGTGTATGAACCAAAGACAATACCATTTAGCAACTAAGAAGTTCACACAGGCTGGAAATAAAATGAAGGTACATTGTGCATTGTATTTACAACCTTACCCACAAGTAAAACAATCTGGATTGATGTTTGTGTGATAAAAATGCTGAAAAATAATTTAAAATGGATTAATGCTAGTTCAACTGATTTCTGATTTGATTCTCTTTCTCTCTTTTTTCATGACAATAGTCCGAAACAAGTTATATTTTTTTATTAATCATATTTTTTATTTCAAGTTCATATATTATAACATTTAATATCATACAATGAAAAATCAACAAGGTTAATCAATTTAACATTTGTTAAATAAGTTATATCAATAGATAAACCTTGCTGTTAGTTTCTTATTTTGATTTAGAGTATAACATCATGTTTTATTCTAAGTAAAATTGATTATGCTGATATAATTTACAATAGTGCTCCAAATATAGCTACCAGCAAACTTGAAAGACTGCATTATAATGCAGCTTGTCTAATTTCCGGTGCTCTGCATGGTTCAAGCACCTATAAGGTCTTGAAGACATTAAATTGGATTACTTTGTCTGAGAGAAGAAGAAGCCATCTTTGCTCATTTCTATTTAAAAATAGAATCAATTTTTCAGCTTCATATGTCACTGAATTATTTAATAAATACTTACATGAACCAAATAGAATTCTAAGGGCTGTCAGAGAGTATATTGTGCCTCTAAATATCAGCATTTCATTTAGAAAAACTACATATTTTGCTGCGATTGAAGAATGGAATGGTCTGCCTAATGATTTAAGAAATTGTAATAGAATATCAACTTTTAAAGGCAAACTTAGAAAGCATTTCGGGAATGAAAAATGTATAAATATAATAGCATCACTTGATATCACTAGAAAAACTGAAATTATATTTAACAGGTTAAAAGTGGACCTATTTCTAAAAAGTCAATTATTTGCTCATCACTTTACAAACATTGACTCACCAGCCTGTAACTGTGGTCATGAAAATGAAACCCCTACTCATTTTTTCCTCAAATGCCCTCAATTTGTAAATGATAGAATCCAACTACTTATAGATCTCCATAGTATTGGTTGTTTAGAAAAATTCTTAGATGCTAACTCTGTTAGCAAACTAAATATGCTCTTGCATGGTAACAGTGAACTTAGTAATGAAGATAATACACTTCTGCTGAAAGCAACTTTAAAATTCCTACAAGCAACCAAGATCGACTAACATGTATATTACACCATCCCATAATTTACACCACTGCACACCTTTTTTTGTAAAGCATTCCAATATCAGCTTTAATTGTACTTTTTCCTTTTTGTTTATATATGAATAGTTACGAATAATTGTAACAAATTTGTATTGCATATAAGTGTATGGTATATTTACTGCGAAGTTCAACACAAATGTTAAATTGATTAACCTTGTTGAATTTTCATTGTATGAAATTAAATGTTATAATATATGAACTTGAAATAAAAATGATTAATAAAAAAAAACATCATGTTTTTGCTGAATTAGATTAAATTAAATGCTATATGTACAGTGCTTTCCTCTATTGATACTGTATTTATCTAGTAATTTGAACTATGTATTTCATCAAATATATATCTGTTTATATGCTTTTTATGCCACTTTCAATAGCATTAAATTTATATACAGTGAAACCTGTCCGATGGAATACCTCTCTGTAGGGAAAACCTATGAACAAGGAATGCTTTTCAAAAGAACCAAATATTTTTCCATTGACTTACATGTTAACGGACCTTCTCTGTAGGGAAAACCTATGAACAGGGAACAAGGAGCACTATTTTGGGGCAAATTATGAAAATTCACCTGTGAACAAGGAATATGGAATATTGGTGACACTGTATATTCCATTATTTTTCAGAGGTGTGAAAGTTTTAAGCCAATATCTGAATATAAAAAGCTTGGATTAATATGATTGAGATTAAGATGAGCAATTGTTTACATGATGTAGCATCCCACCCACTGTTAATTACCCGGATTTATATTAAAACTAATACTAATCTGTTTGTTACTTATTATCATGACACTAATTCTTACTTTCAAAAACCTAATTACATCAAATCAGTTGTGATAATCTAGGGACTGACACAATTGTTTTATGGAGATAACAGATAGTAAGTACATGGTCATGTTGAGCTAAATCTCTTTAAATCTTTTACTGATCCAACTACTAGATTATCAACGATATAAAATGGGGTTGATGAAATTTGAAATTCAGTTCTTAGCAATAAATCTCTACACATCATATCAATAATTACATCAACTAGACACCATCAGACGCTAGCAGCAGCTAAAATCAACATGGGGAGAATGTAACCAAGTATGGAGCCGGCATTTGTACAATCAATCAATATATATACAAATATGCTTATTCGGCAACTTTGAGTTTGCTGAAAGTGCGGCCCCTCTCTGTAGGGAAAACCTCTGAACAAGGAAACTTTTCTTCAGTCCCAAGAGTAAACCTGTTCGCAGGTTTTACTGTATATGACATATTAAATGTCAATAAAAAAATTTTTTTCCTTGTATTTTCCAGGCTATGAAATCTCTATTAAAATCAGGTGATACAGAGAAGATCATATTTTTCGCTGGGGTGTCTCGTCAGAAGGAGATCTATGTAATGGCTGCTAATTATCTCCAATCGTTGGACTGGCGAAAAGATCCTGAGATCATGAAAAACATTATAGGGTTCTATACCAAGGGACGTGCCCTAGACTCACTATCAGGCTTCTATGATGCTTGCGCAATGGTATGTTATTTTGTATAAATTATTCTTGTCAAAATAGAAATATGTTGTGGTATTTTTGATCACATGGTACTACATTGACCAATCAGAATACTGGGATTCCAGAAATGATATATTACTTATATATACTGTATATGTGCAATATTTCCAGGTTGAAGTAGACGAATACCAGAACTATGACAAAGCACTCGGGGCCCTGACTGAAGCCTACAAATGTCTCACTAAAGCCAAGATGAAGAATCAGACTCAACAAGAAGAGAAACTGGCAGCCTTGAAGACGAGGATCACACTCATGAAGAAGTTTGTCACTGCACGAAGGTACATTTTCATCTAAAATGCTATATATACTGAAAATTGATTTGCATTGAATTGAAAATATTTGTCTACTACAGTAAAACCTGTCAATTTGAAAGTGGAACAACTTTGGACTCTAGTTGAGAGGTGTTCCTCTTATCAGAGGTTCATTCAACATTAAGTCAATTGATCTCTGAAAAGTGCTCCACTTGTAGAGGTGGTCCACTTGTAGAGGTGTTCCACTTGTAGAGATGTTCCACTTGTAGAGGTGTTCCACTTTACAGGTTCCACTTTATTTTGTTATCGAGACCTCTCTTTGTGTTAGTGCTTGATCAATGTAGTAGCACTTATAAAAGAACAAATACAGTCAGTAAAACCTACATCCACACATTATGGTTGCTTTATGATATAAAACAAAAAATTCTGCTTCTAGAGCCTATGATGAGGATAAAGATGAAGCTGTTAAAGCCTGTCAGGTCTTACTTGAAGAACCAGAACTGGATTCAGCTGTTAGAGTTGGAGACGTTTTTGGATTCATGATTGAACATTATGCCAAGAAGGAGCATTGGAAAGCTGTAAGTGTTTTATTCCTATTAGAGATGGCGATATTTTGTTATGGTCTCAAACTTTTTGTGGTCGCTGTGAGGCGGTTGGTATTCAGCATCTGTAACAAGTGGCAGATTGTGCTCAAAATTGTTGACCGAGTAAAATATGTGCTATCATTAATAATTTAGAAAAAATATGTTTCTGTTGGATAACTAGTATGAACAAAAGATATCACATCATTTCATTCTTATATTTGGTAATTCCTATATTCATAGTAACACAAATACAAAAGATGACAGGTGACATCTATTTTGTAAAAGTAGATTATTCTATGTATACATTTATTTAGTATTTTGAAAGATTAGACTCTAGATTTCTGTTCGAGTCATTAATTCTGCAAGACTATTTTCAAAATCTCAGGTGGGTGCTGCACCCAATTGCTTTAATGATGGGGAGATCGCTGCTATTATTCTTTAATCACAGACAAGTCCATCATTATTCCAATTAATTCATCTTTCAGGCATATGCATGTATGGAGGAGATGAGAGCCAAGATCCCTAAAGTGAACCTAGGTTACTATGTTAACATGAGGACTATAGAACAAGTGCATAGTGCCCTACAGATCCCGCTGGGTCGGGGTACGGGGGCAGAGATAAATGGCTTCTGGGCAGGCTCCCCGGGAGATGAGGAAACAGGCGAAGAAGTTGAAGAGGATGTCATCGATGACTTTGCTGATGATTCTACATGTTGAGATCTCATACAAGGACTTATGAATATTGGCACCCTTGAATCTGGTCCTGGTGATTCTTCATGTTTAGATGTGGTATCAGGGTCCTAGAAATTGGAAATACAGACTTGTAAATATGTATCTCTGTATATCAGGCCCCTTGAATCAAATACTATACTGCACTTATGGTTCTACCTGCTCAGAGATCTTTATGTGATATCAGAGTCCTAGAAATTGGAAATATGGACTTGTAAATAAGTATCTCTGTATATCAGGACCCTTGAATCAAATACTATACTTATGGTTCTATCTGCTCAGAGATCTTTATGTGATATCAGAGTCCTAGAAATTGGAAATATGGACTTGTAAATAAGTATCTCTGTATATCAGGACCCTTGAATCAAATACTATACTTATGGTTCTACCTGCTCAGAGATCTTTAAACATATCTGCCTTATGTAGGATGTCTGTGATATACCAGAAATCTGATACAGGAGTGCTCATCTTGGAACCTTTGATTTCTTGTTAATTTCATATTAGGACCCATGAATTCATCTATTTTTGTGGAACTTGTGAATGCATTTGTCTGAATTCAATATCAGCACTCATATTTTCAATTTATATTTTGTGAGTATCAGAGCCTATGAATTCAGGTGTGGAATTAGGTCCATGATGGTTAATTGAGCTAATCAAGCAAGTCGTACAAAATATGTTTCTATGGCAACATATAATATATTATATATATATTTACATCTCACCTTGAATTTTTCAAAACGCCCCACTTTAGGGTTCACATAATGGTTACAAAATGAGACCGTCCATCACTTTTATGAAGAATAGATTTTGAAATATTTATACAGAATGTCACATCATATTTCTTTGAACAAGGTAGCATACATTATAGGCTATTATTTATAAATGTACTTCTTGAATATATGAATGGACATCACCACTTCATATGAATCTCATCAAAATACAAATGTGTTAAAATTGTACAATGTACAAATCAAATGCCCTTCAATAACTTACACTATGACACTCTCAGTAGAATGTACATGAACCCATTCTTTATGAAATGTACCCAATATGAAAATGTATTTTACATGTATATATGATAGCTTGCACTGGTTTTTAAAACCAAAATGAATGAGGATTATTTAAAGGAAGAATCACAGAAAGTGAGCAAATTTTGTAAAACTTCAATTTCAGAGATTTTCTCCCTGATTTTTACACTTTATTCCAGAGTTATCAGAGATATTATTTATTTCGAAAAAATTGATGCATCGATTACTGCATTTTAAATCTTACATAACTTTATGGTTTTATAATGCATATCATATTACATCATATATTATGGAATTGTAATTGGTCAATTTTATATATTGCTTGCAATTTGTCACCCCCTACATCTCTGATTTTAGCTTTAATAATTGAATCTGCTTTGACAACAGCTAATAAGTTGAGAAAACAATTCAATATGAGTGTATTATGATTGCGTAAATTATGATATTCGTGGTGTTATGAAATGTAAAAGTGATGTAAGATCAGTCCATTTCATTAGATGATTGTGTATTGGTACATTGCTATAGAAACCATTAAATAAGCATGTTTACTTGATTCCCTTATTACAACACTTTTAAGGTAATATAATTAGGCCATTAGATAATACAATAAGGCCATTATTCCAGTTATAAAACATTTGATTGGATGTTACACAACAGTCAATTTTTTATTATCTCCCCACCACAAGTAGCGAGATCAATAGTGCAAGAAAACAGGCAAATAGTTCGTTCATGGAACGAAGCATGAAACTTTCCACATATCATCAGAATACCTTTCCCTTTGATTTAAGAGCCAGAGCCATTTTTGTGGTCCACTAGAATGATCAAAAAATAATAAGTACCCCCTCCCACCAAATCCCGTGGGGGTGGGGAGATATAGGAATATTTTTTTCATAAAAATTTTTCTTTGAATATGGTCATACCACAGTTTTAGTGTGCTATTTTCATGGTAAAGAAATTTTGCAAACATAACAAGATGATTTATCATCAATTTTCATCATTGTTAAAGACTAATCATGGGCGACGCCCACTTTTCATATCTTGAACATTTAGGTTATTAAATCTCTATCATGGGTTGAATAAATGAATGTAATCTAGCTTTCTGGATAAGACCAGATACTCTTTTGATGTTAGGTGCTATAATTAATCTTAGAATTTGACTTCTTAAAGGCTCATAACATATCACACCCCTGTTTAGAAGAAAGAAGAAAGCGAGCAACAAATGTCCCAGATCTACAACATGTATCCACTATTCTATGTACATGTATGTCGAGTCTCTATATTCTCCTGAAGAAAACCTATGCTACAGATACAACTGTCCAGAATCTAGATGATGACGTGCTTAAACAGTTTGATGAATGGTGTGCTGACCAAGTGCCTAAACAGTTTTATGAATGGTGTGCTGACCAACAGAATGTACCAGTCTTCAGGCTTTGGTTTCTGATTATTTAAATTGAAATACTGTGCCTAGACTATGTGAGGGCTATAGGACAGGAGGAGAACTTTCCTCTTTATTTCCAGATGGTTTCTCTTTGATTTTCATAGTTGTTAAAGACTAGTCATGGGCGACACCCACTTTTCATATGCTGAACATTTAGGCTATTAAACCTCTTTTATGGGTTTGAACCAGAACCAGAAGGGCCGCCACACAGTCACAGCCTGCAGTCTCTAAATTCTCAAGAGAGCCTATACTACATATACATCTGTCTAGAATCTAGATGATGAAGTGATAAAGAGTTTGATGAATGGTGTGCTGACCAACAGAATGTACCAGTCTTTAAGTTTTGGTTTCCGATTATTTGAATCGAAATACTGTGCCTTAACTTAGTGTGTGCTATCAGAGAGGGCAATTTCCCTCTTTATCTCTAGTCAATTAGCAAGCGTATCACCTGGTTTTTCGTTTTTTGACCTTGTCAATATGCTTGATGAGTACCAGTTCACATTAGGAATATGCTACAACTATAACAAATACATCCAGAAGTCTACGAAGCCTTCACAAAAGGCCACTTCACTGTTACCAAGATTGAGCTTTTCAGCCATTGCTAGTGCTACTGACCAGGTTCACAAGCAGAATAACAGTCTAGATAAATCAAACGGTGGAGCAGTGTGGCTCTTTGACAACCAGACAACTCTATTGGATGGTTGGGGGCCCTGAATTTGTCAGACTGATCATGAATTTGAGAACAATATAAATAATGATCAAGATGAAGACCTATCTAATCATGAACAAAGTATAAGCATACAACAAAGATTCAAAGATAATGTGAAACTATTATCAGAAACCATAGAATAGATGGGAAATCTTTTCTGGAGACTTCAAATGACTTGTACTCATTAGACAACAAAGATATTGTATCCTCAATGTCAGTCCAGAAGAAGTGAGTAGTTCCCATAATACTATCACATTCTTTCGTACTCATGAACATAATTTATTTAAATCATGCCCATCAGTATACGATGTAAAATCAAATTGCAGGACATGATTACGTGCACAATCATGAGCATGAGGTCTCTCAGGGCAGCACATGCGCAAAGTAAAATGGGAAATTGTGGAGATGGTGTTTATTTCAGTTTAACATCAGGTCAACATCATCATTTCTAAATGAAGGTAACACTATTTAAGTTAATCGATCCAAACTTGTAGAGAATAATCATAAATCAACATTCTGCTTGTGAACCTGGGTCATATTTGGGAAATGGAGCAAAGTGGCCAGGATCAGTACAAATTGTACACTAAAGAAAAACTGGATGACAAATCTAAACAAATAACAGACACTATCTATATAAAAAGAAACAATTTTCTAATATTTAAGGAACAGAAAACAAAAGTGAATGTTACCAAGGAAACAGCATTGAAAAAAATGATTGTGCTCTCTTTTCAAGACTGTTCATTGTATGTCAGAAAAGAGACAGTCATCTTGAGGAGTTCTTCAAACGTGAAAACCAGTCCTTCCCACCCTCTTTACACGAGGGGAAAGAGTACCCGTGTATATACAACCTACCGCCGAGCAAAGACCCGAAGATGTCTGAAAATGTAGGGGGTGAGTTATAAACTTTTGTTTATATCTTGAATTTCTCAATATGAGAAACAGATAAAACACAGAATTGTGTGTAACTGATAAAGTTATTGTTCCAGGCACTCATGTTTGCAAAATAATGAGTACTTAGCGCAATGTTTACTATCCAATCGCTAAATTCAACTTTTAAATATTTGAATGATGATTTATATCTTGAATAAGTAACAACCATGGCTGTCTTTACTTCATTCGATTCAAAGATACAATAGGTGTAAATGTTTCATATTTATTTCACTGCCATACGTTGCATATCATTGAAATCACCGGTGAAAGTTGAAAATGAAAGACCCGATTATGTCACGAGTACGATTATATAGGACCCGAAGCTACCACCGAGCTATTCCGACTATACCATGAGTAGAACCCGATGAGGTAGTGAGTAAGCTTTCGAATGAGCATATAATATCATGACGATATCACAAATATTTCTTTTTATTTATCATATACTCCTGGCACCGGGATATAATATAATATGATATAGTTCCTGCAGCACTATGCGTCAACGTCTGTTTCCGGCAAAGTTATTTAAAACATTGAATTGATGCTTACACTTGAATCACCATAATTTCCTATGTGTCTATGGTAAGAGTGCAACCCAAAAACATTTAATTCTGCATTGCAAGCGCCATTCTACTCAAAGAACACAACTTGAAGAATCCCAAGCTTCACAAGCTTCATATCCTCGAAACGAAAATTACCGTGATCTTTCTTTGATAATACAATACCATAGTCAAAAACATTGTAAATCCATTTTTTGCCATTTAACTCAGGCACATTAACTTTAATACTCAGTAATGGATGGTGCTGACTGAAGTGATTTATAACTACAGTGGAAGCATTTGTACCGAGGACCTGAAATACAATGTTTCGATGTGCAGTGGTAACTGGTGATAGCCATATTTTTTTCAGTTGCATTTATTGTTCACAACAAAATGATTCACAAATGATGCAGATTGTATGTTTATTATTTTTTCATCAGCACGTCAAAAACTCGACGATATAATCGTATCTCAACAGATTTTACTCAAGTAATGTTCGGATTCTGAGATCCTTTACTCAAGATATTTTCGGATCTTTATAATATTACTCGTCGATCACATCGGGTCCGATGTCCGATAACCTCGGATCTTTTAGGACAAAGTTTAAGTGAAGATTTTGCTGTTCAAAAGTGCTATTTTGACACTTAATATATTATGCATATGTACATCCATTTACCGACCCAAGTATGTCTTATGTATCAATTAAAGCGAGTATGAATTAGAAAAACAAATCGAAAACCATTACACGTTTACCTTATCTCTTAATTTGGACATAACGATATATTTCAACTATAATTCTAGGCCAATTGCGCCTGCTAGAACATCTTAGTAACAACTCTAACCATCCAAAGAAATTGTTAGTGACATTATATTACCTTTATTGTCCATTTTCCTACGAGATGACATTATCAAACATTTGCTCGGCGGTATGTGCGTATCTTGCTCGGCGGTAGGTTGTATATACACGGGTACTCTTTCCCCTCGTGTCTTTATCTCAAAATGGAACAATTAAAACAACTAATTAAGTGCTGAAAGGTAGATGAAATGTTACCATCAAATTGGAATTTATTAGAGATGATGTAAACAATGTATTGTAAGATGTATTATCATACCCCCCGATGCCCATTCAAGACATTTCCCCATCAACACATGAATAAGCACATCCACCGTGCAGTAAAGTCTGGGTAGAACACATTGATGATTAGAACAGTAGACTGATATTGTCTGTCTCACAGTCAGTATATCATCAGAACTCAAAGTTCAAAAATGGATAGCTTTGGGAAAAGTAAAAAATTAGAGATATCTCACATGAAATGGCAGCTGCACTTTGACATGGTAGGACTATGTGTCTCCCCTTATTTCATGCCCCCACAGGCTCAGACACTATATCCGGATTCCATGGTAAATTAAAAACAACAGCGTAGAAACATTGGATTACTTATCCGAGTTGACAAATGCACTTAAAACTTTGGCTGAAGATCCCAATAAGTAAGCCAAAGTTATGCCAATCACTGAACGTTTTGTTGTGATTTTATACAACAGAGACAACAATGAAACAACTGTAAATGCTGCAAGGAAAACAGCTCAAATTGAGAACATCCCACCATAAGTTGCATAAGTTCGGTCCAGACAATTATACCTATGTCAGTCCTCGCTTCACTCTCAAAATTGAGTTGGGAATCCATTACCACAAAGGCTGGAAAAATGATTTATGTGCCAGTATGGAAAACATTGCCCCAAGCTTCAGATGCATGCCAAATGCTAGTAAAATGTAGCTGCAAACAATAGTGCTCAACAAAAAGATGCAAGTGCTTTAAAGCCAATATTATGCATGTATTGCCCTGTATTTGTCTGACAGGGATTGTAATGGACATGGCACCTAAGTGAGTGATAATGATAATAGAGTGTTGAAGTGCTTAAATGCACAAAATAGGATATTTGAACTGCAGTTAAGATACTTAATGAGGTAACTTGCATCAATTAGTCAAAGTGCTCTCATTAAAAATTATGTATCATTAATTGTGAATTATATATTATTATATCTTTATATCTAAAAGGGGTGTGGCCTTTCACAAGCCTTTAACAGTGAAATTGACTTACTTACAGCATCTATTATCTTAACATAAGTAATCTTGTCAGATTTATTCAGCCATATTAGGTAATAATCCTATTCATAATAGAAGACTCATTAACTTGTATATTTAACATGTTGATAAAGTGGGCGTCGCCCTTGGTCAGGCTTTAACAATGAATATCAATGAGAAATACTGATGCAATCTTGAAAATTGTTTTTAAACACTGAAAATAACATACTAAAAATGAATATAGATCATATTCAAAAAAAAATCAACAAAAAAATAATTCTTCCCTCCCCCTCCCCCAAGGATTTGATGGGAGGGGGTATTTGCAATTTTTCGGTCATTTTAATGAACTACAAAAATGGCTCTAGCTCTTAAATCAAAGGGAATGGTATTCTGATGATATGTGGAAAGTTTCACGCTTCGTTCCATGAATGAACTATTTTTGCACTATTGATCTCGCTAAAGTGGTGACATATTGTTATGGTTTCAAACTTTTTTGTGGGTGGTGTTTGGCGATTGGTATTTGGCAGTAGGCATCTGTAACAAATGGCAGGTTGTGACAGTTTGCATGTTGCCTTGTTTTATCATATTATTCTATTGTATCATATTTTCAAATTCAAATCTTTACAAAGTGCATCTAGCACGCCATTTGTGCTTTAAATTGGTATATACCAAAATATTAAATAAGCTAAAAAATATCCCCAGAACTATTATTTTCAGGAACATATCAAAAAGCTATTCTTTTGAGTAGACTACATGTAGTACTACACATGTTGATGAGTTTATGTAAATAAGCCACCGCTAACCTGGCGCAAGGAGAAAATAGTTTTTTAGCGAATACATACAATATTTTTATCACACCATCGGTGGGATATAGTCGTCATACTGGTCGTGATCGTGGTCGTGATCGTGGTTGTGGTCGTGATCGTGATCGTGATCGTCCCGCTTTTTGTCATCGCCGTTTAAGGAAAACTGCTCATCAGATTTTCTCCAAATTCGCAGAGATGATAGAGCATATGAAGTACTAGAGCTGATTAACTTTTGGGTGGCCATCTTGTTTTCTGGCGGCCATTTTGAAGGTTTTTCGAAAAATCTTGTCATCGCCATTTCAGGAAAACCGCTCATTGGATTTCCTTCAAATTTACACAAATGATAGAGGATATCAAGTACTAGAGCTGATTAACTTTTGGGCGGCCATCTTGTTTTCTGGCAGCCATTTTGAAGATTTTTCGAAAAATCTTGTCATCGCCATTTCAGAAAATCCGCTCATCGGATTTCCTTCAAATTTACACACATGATAGAGGATATCAAGTACTAGAGCTGATTAACTTTTGGGCGGCCATCTTGTTTTCTGGTGGCCATTTTGAAGGTTTTTCTAAAAATCTTGTCATCCCCATTTCAGGAAAACCGCTCATCGGATTTCCTTCAAATTTACACAAATGATAGAGGATATCAAGTACTAGAGCTGATTTACTTTTGGGTGGCCATCTTGTTTTCTGGCAGCCATTTTGAAGATTTTTCGAAAAATCTTGTCATCGCCATTTCAGAAAATCCGCTCATCGGATTTCCTTCAAATTTACACACATGATAGAGGATATCAAGTACTAGAGCTGATTAACTTTTGGACGGCCATCTTGTTTTCTGGTGGCCATTTTGAAGGTTTTTCGAAAAATCTTGTCATCGCCATTTCAGGAAAACCGCTCATCGGGTTTCCTTCAAATTTACACAAATGATAGAGGATATCAAGTACTAGAGCTGATTAACTTTTGGGCGGCCATCTTGTTTTCTTGTTCTTGAAATTTGTAAACATAATAGGAGAACAGTTTTCCTGGTTTATAGTGTCTGCCTATTTGATGGTGTGATCTCGTTCACGTCCTGTGCCTTGTTGAAATAATATACCTAAAAGGTTTATATTTGCTAATGCTCATACAGTGTATAACATTTAGATGAAATACTCATTCTTAAAAGAAATCCCAATGAAAAAATACAATGAATTTCATAGCAAGAGAAATCTCAAAACGACTTCCGTCCAGAAAGACTGATATATATTTTTATGATATTCTGAAGATAAATATCACACTGGGTCTAACATCAATGTTTTTTTGTGAAACTAATTTTGTTGGGGATGGGAGAGGGAAATTCATTTTGTTTAGAAAAGAAACATTGGTTATTTATTGTGATATAGTTAAGACTTTTGTTGTCTATTGTTAAAATAAAGTCTAAGAACAGTGGTATTTGACTATTTGTGAGCCTTTGTTGGCAGATTAACAGCCAAAAATATTAACACAACTCAAAAGAATATGGAATATGTCTTTTGAGTATTTTTAATATCAGTAATAATTTACCACATTTAAGAAGGTATTTTAAGATAAATTAAATATGTATTTGAACATGTTGATAAAGTGGGCGTCGCCCTTGGTCAGGCTTTAACAATGAATATCAATGAGAAATACTGATGCAATCTTGAAAATTGTTTTTAAACACTGAAAATAACATACTAAAAATGAATATAGATCATATTCAAAAAAAAATCAACAAAAAAATAATTCTTCCCTCCCCCTCCCCCAAGGATTTGATGGGAGGGGGTATTTGCAATTTTTCGGTCATTTTAATGAACTACAAAAATGGCTCTAGCTCTTAAATCAAAGGGAATGGTATTCTGATGATATGTGGAAAGTTTCACGCTTCGTTCCATGAATGAACTATTTTTGCACTATTGATCTCGCTAAAGTGGTGACATATTGTTATGGTTTCAAACTTTTTTGTGGGTGGTGTTTGGCGATTGGTATTTGGCAGTAGGCATCTGTAACAAATGGCAGGTTGTGACAGTTTGCATGTTGCCTTGTTTTATCATATTATTCTATTGTATCATATTTTCAAATTCAAATCTTTACAAAGTGCATCTAGCACGCCATTTGTGCTTTAAATTGGTATATACCAAAATATTAAATAAGCTAAAAAATATCCCCAGAACTATTATTTTCAGGAACATATCAAAAAGCTATTCTTTTGAGTAGACTACATGTAGTACTACACATGTTGATGAGTTTATGTAAATAAGCCACCGCTAACCTGGCGCGAGAAAATAGTTTTTTAGCGAATACATACAATATTTTTATCACACCATCGGTGGGATATAGTCGTCATACTGGTCGTGATCGTGGTCGTGATCGTGGTTGTGGTCGTGATCGTGATCGTGATCGTCCCGCTTTTTGTCATCGCCGTTTAAGGAAAACTGCTCATCAGATTTTCTCCAAATTCGCAGAGATGATAGAGCATATGAAGTACTAGAGCTGATTAACTTTTGGGTGGCCATCTTGTTTTCTGGCGGCCATTTTGAAGGTTTTTCGAAAAATCTTGTCATCGCCATTTCAGGAAAACCGCTCATTGGATTTCCTTCAAATTTACACAAATGATAGAGGATATCAAGTACTAGAGCTGATTAACTTTTGGGCGGCCATCTTGTTTTCTGGCAGCCATTTTGAAGATTTTTCGAAAAATCTTGTCATCGCCATTTCAGAAAATCCGCTCATCGGATTTCCTTCAAATTTACACACATGATAGAGGATATCAAGTACTAGAGCTGATTAACTTTTGGGCGGCCATCTTGTTTTCTGGTGGCCATTTTGAAGGTTTTTCTAAAAATCTTGTCATCCCCATTTCAGGAAAACCGCTCATCGGATTTCCTTCAAATTTACACAAATGATAGAGGATATCAAGTACTAGAGCTGATTTACTTTTGGGTGGCCATCTTGTTTTCTGGCAGCCATTTTGAAGATTTTTCGAAAAATCTTGTCATCGCCATTTCAGAAAATCCGCTCATCGGATTTCCTTCAAATTTACACACATGATAGAGGATATCAAGTACTAGAGCTGATTAACTTTTGGACGGCCATCTTGTTTTCTGGTGGCCATTTTGAAGGTTTTTCGAAAAATCTTGTCATCGCCATTTCAGGAAAACCGCTCATCGGGTTTCCTTCAAATTTACACAAATGATAGAGGATATCAAGTACTAGAGCTGATTAACTTTTGGGCGGCCATCTTGTTTTCTTGTTCTTGAAATTTGTAAACATAATAGGAGAACAGTTTTCCTGGTTTATAGTGTCTGCCTATTTGATGGTGTGATCTCGTTCACGTCCTGTGCCTTGTTGAAATAATATACCTAAAAGGTTTATATTTGCTAATGCTCATACAGTGTATAACATTTAGATGAAATACTCATTCTTAAAAGAAATCCCAATGAAAAAATACAATGAATTTCATAGCAAGAGAAATCTCAAAACGACTTCCGTCCAGAAAGACTGATATATATTTTTATGATATTCTGAAGATAAATATCACACTGGGTCTAACATCAATGTTTTTTTGTGAAACTAATTTTGTTGGGGATGGGAGAGGGAAATTCATTTTGTTTAGAAAAGAAACATTGGTTATTTATTGTGATATAGTTAAGACTTTTGTTGTCTATTGTTAAAATAAAGTCTAAGAACAGTGGTATTTGACTATTTGTGAGCCTTTGTTGGCAGATTAACAGCCAAAAATATTAACACAACTCAAAAGAATATGGAATATGTCTTTTGAGTATTTTTAATATCAGTAATAATTTACCACATTTAAGAAGGTATTTTAAGATAAATTAAATATGTATTTGAAAGATAGAAAAATGTTCATTCATACAACGTAAAATCACACTATGAATAGGAAATGATCTTCAAAAGGGTGTATAGCACAATCAGACAAAATACACCAGGAAACTTAAAGCCCTCAAATTTGCTATTTTATTTATTTCATGATTGTGTGATTGGGAAATATTCAAAATTACCAAATCCATTTTATTGTCTATAAGATCAATTTCAATGTACAGAATGGTTGTTACACATATAGATGATTTTAAAATTAGGCTAGAAGAGAATTTGATTCAGATTGATTTTTTGACATCGTTTGTCTTGTACAATGAATAAAATTGTATTGTTGTTTATTAATGTAAATAAACTGAACAGTGAACATTAACATATCAGTGAGCCATATGTGACACACGCCTGTTAGTTTGTTATATAACCTATTATATTGTATAAAAATGTAAATAAATATTAAGATATTAAGATTATGACAAAGCTAATTACATAAGGTGTCTTTCTGTTCGTATGTTACCAATACCAGTGGCTACAAGTGGTGACATATTGTTAAGGCTCCAACTTCTTTGTGGATGGTGTTTGGTGAACAAGTGAACTAACCTGTTTCCTGATCTTAGAATATACAAGTATAATCCAAGACAACAGATGTGTTTGGTAAACAATATTTGAAATATTTTTATTGAGTGAAAACAACAGAAATAACATACAGTAATACAAGACATCATTTAATTTTTGTAGTTTACTTTTTTTAGAATGAAATATTAGCCCTCTGGGAATTATCACCTGATTACATGTAAGTCTGTGAGTACAGTGTAATCCTTATTTAGAGGTTATGTCACTATCGTGGCATATATGCCCGAGGTCTCCGTGATATATGACCCGACCTTGGGAGGGACATTGATCGCTGAGAACCGAGGGCATATGTGCCACGATAGTGACATAAACGATTTATAAAAACGATTTATAAAAACGCAACAAACAAAGACATTGTAAAATTACAAAATCAGTGATGGTAACTTGATTTAGTTTAGCAGGAAGCCACATGTCTCCTCTTTCCAATGGTATGTCAATTATTTATATACGAATACAGAACACTGAATAATCATTCCTTTTGCACAACCTGCTAAAATCTGCTCTGGACCATTGCATTTAGACATTGCAACAGTTAACATAGAGTCACCAATGAGGTTGCTGCTCTCTGCCCGAACCCCAGATGATTCACAGAGATGTGTGACATGGACACACAAGCCAGTCTCTGTGTGTAGAGAAATAGTGGTCACGTGAAAAGGCTTGGAATGTTATCTTTCATGAATAATCTTTCATAAAATGACAGACAATGACTGAACACTTAAAGTTAAATATTCTTTTCTTTTTTCCTTTTTTCTTAATAAATCTAAATCAGAAACTTGTGTTATGTAAATCTTGTGACAAGAATTTAATCACCAGTACCAATTACATAATGATTTACCTGATTGCACAATAAGGATCAGTTGATTGATATTTCATTTCTTGGCACAGAGGCCTTTTCACCCATGTACGAAAAAACAATGATTTTTCAGTGGTCCATGATCAGATATGAACAAATGATAAATTATTGGAAAGGGGAGACACGTGGCTTCATGATAAACTAAATGAAATTGATGTAATCATCCCTGGTTTTGTGATTTTGGGACGCATGGTAGTATCCAACTTTTATGTGTTCAGTGGTTGGTATTTTGCGGTCAGTGTCTCTACCAAATGGCATGGGTGACATTTTGCATGTTAATGGCTTGTCTAATATATTCTGCTAAAATATCTTGCCAATATAATATAAAATATACATGTGCATAAAGGTCTAGAAAGTTCAAAATCCAAAATATGTTGAGTATTTTATTGTTTTTAAATTGGATAGTATAGAGAAAGGCAACGGGATATCTTGAAAAAGTGTACAATTCTAGGAAAAGTACTTGTACTGAGAGTAATAGGAAAAATGTTATTATTTACAGAGATTGAATGCTTGAATTATCTTGTGTTTCTAATAACTTGGTGTACAGTTCAGGCTTAATAAATTTAATTCCTTATTTTCAGTGTGTTGTAGTGCAGACTGGCCCAAGCAATCTCTCCATAGACAACTTTGCTACAAGCACACACCAAGATCTCAAAACTGATATACAAATTAAAGGCACCTACACTACAGGGGTATGAACTGTTAGTTAGTAGACTCATTCAGGAAATATGGGATAAAACGAAAATTCAGTGCTATATTACCATTTTACATATGCTGACACTTACAATGGGTTGAAATGCTAAGATTTTTAGAAATTCAGTGCCCTGAGAATATCATAGTATGTAAGAGTACGTTGGATAATGCCTATTAGATTTTACTTCAATAATAATTACACCTTATACCCGCAGGGATAACAAAAGCTCTAACTGAAAATTCAAAGCTCATACTGACAATACAAAAGCTTTAACTGACAATACAAAAGCTTTACTGACAATACAAAAGGCCCAACTGACAATACAAAAGCTTTAACTGACAATACAAAAGCTCTAACTGACAATACAAAAGCTCTAACTGACAATGCAAAAGCTTTAAATGACAATGCAAAAGCTCAAACTTCCGATTACAATGTCATTGGTCATTTTTAGGAAGTATTGCAATGTTAACTAATAATAACAAGGGCACGAAACAGGAACAATAGCTGAAAAACAAACCAAGAATATATGAGTACAAACTGACAATATTTTTGAATACTTTCAGGAAAATGTTGCAATATGGAATGGCAGGAAGCTGGTCGTGTATGAAATAACAGGGGACAAATCTACTATACGCGCAGCAGGGACATTTTCCACTGAATCCACCATATGCTGCTTATATGAGCAAAATGTCTACACAATAGAACAGGGCAAAGTACAAGTTCGAACATTCCAGGTGGGTGCTCTGTTTGTCTTGGTTATTTTGGGTTAGTAACTTGTGCATTGTACTCTATGTAGATACTGGTGCATTGTACTGTATGTAGATACTGGTGGATTGTACTGTATGTAGATACTGGTGCATTGTACTGTATGTAGATACTAGTGCATTGTACTCTATGTTTTCCTTGGCAGAGTTCTTTATGGAATGGATTTAGAGATAAGTTCCATTCCCTGGTTTTATTTTAATTCTTTGCTTTAACTGTACATTTTAAGGGTCTCCCGAATTATGTCAAAATTTTACCCAATTTGTTTACATGTTTTGTGATACAATTTCCTTATTCATTTTGGTTGAATACTTATGTTTAATAGCATGCTTGCCCAAAATCATGGAGTGAAAATGATCAAGAAATACAGAATGTATCATGCCCTTAAATAAATAATAAAATAAGCTTTGTTAGATAAACACCATGTCATGCTTTTGAAAAGAATGCTTCCAATTGATTGATTCCCAAGCTGTAAATGAGAAGTTTTATCCTATGCCAAGTAGAGTTTTAGGGAGATAAGTTGGTTAGATATATCCCATATCCTGATTTTGAGGTTTCCATATCCAGAACCTCCATATCTCCCGCTTCGGTGCATATCTTCCCGTTTCCGGTAAGTAATGGAAATGCAATAAAATGACTTTGCATATGAATGATTTGTTTATTTTTACACCTTGTACTATTAAAATGGCCATATGCCCCTGAAAACTCTACTTGGTATAGGATAAAGCAGTTATCTACGGTCGGTTAGGATAATGGGTTCATCCCTACGGTCCCTCAGGTAGATATGCATATCTCCCTCTGGATAAACCCCATATCCAAAACCTCCCAGTACATAACCCTTATTTATTATTGGTTACGATATATAGAACCCATCGTAAGCATATCGCACTGCCCTACCAAAGGTAATCCTATAATCCTAGACGTAATCAAGTTCCATCTGGGTTTTTTATCAAACTTAAAAGGCAATACATTGTTGTCTTTTGCAAAAAGGTGTGTGTCTGTCGTGAGTGAATTGAAGTCATTATTTGATGTGTTAATATGTCTCTAGGGCACCGTAAAGCAGCTGATTAGTTTCACAGAGGTAGAGGGTCAACCTGTAACATTGGAAGTCTGTTCAGGTTATAATGAAAACACGCGCTACGCGTTAACGCGCTAGCGCACTAACGCACTGTTCAGAATGATCGTTCCCACAGGCCCGGGAACATGATGTATAAACATCGAGTGAGTGAAGAGATTAGGTGGCTCATCAGAAAGCAGAAGTATGAAGAAGCCCAATGTTTGATCGTTAACTGTGCAGATTATCGATTGTCAGTGTGTTTTATCTGATTTAAAAGGAAGATAGAAAGTAGCACCTTACAAGATGAATGGTCGCAGATATGCGAATATGCTCCCTATTTCATTGCATTATTTGGGTCCATCCATCGGCGAGAAAAATCCCGTTTCGAAATCTGAGCCGGGGGCCCGACTACTTGACTAATGACTTAATATAATGTTTATTTGTCGCATGTTACCTCGTGTTACCTCTTAATATCAAGTCATGGATGTTTTATATATCTTTACTCTTTGTATTTGAAGTTATATCTCACATGACTTACCAAACGGTGGGATAATTCAGGCATCGCATGATATTTTTCCATTTTTCTTTTCGTGCCCGGTTACTCTCTTTCGCTTTCATGGGGGGGGGGTGTATAGGGTTATCGTATAAGAGGAGGGTGAAAATCTATTGTGTATGGCCGCATAAGAGCTAGAGGGGGCAACATTTATCGTATATGGCATCGTATAAGTTAAATAAACATATGTTTTAAAAGAATTAAAGAAGCCTATTATGAAATTTAAGGCAGTTTGAACGAATACTGCAGATCCAGCTTATCCCCATAAATTTGGGATTTCAATACACAAGTAGTTGCGGGGGCTTGCCCGTAGTCAGCTTTTTTCCAGGCAGGTGAAGCTTTTTCACAATTTTGGCTAATAATCATGAAAAAAATTCTCAGAATGGTGAAAAACTGCATGATTTTGAAAGAATCTCTGGCCAGAGGGGGAGCTCCGCTCCCCCAGCTCCCCCTCTGGCTACGGGCCTGGTTGTGGGGGTGATTTGAAAAATCAGTCCCACATTTATGGGGGTAATTCAGATCTCTATATACATAGTAGTCTCTATATGCCATATGCCAGGACAGTAACCAGGATTTCCCAGGGGGGGGGTCACTTTTTCAAAAATTCCAAAGTCACCCTCCGAACCCCCCTGGCTTCGGGGCTGTGTACTATGGATTTCCAAGACCCCTATGAACCCCCCTTTCATGTTTGCTTTCGTTTTTCTCAATTTGATTTTAGATTTAAAAAGTTTTGAATTACGTCAGTCCCAGTGAATTGTATTACCTATTTTACCAGGAATATTGTTGATGTATTTCATTTGGAATTAAAGTTTTAAATAAGAGACGATTTAAAAAGTAATGTAAACCCGACCAGCGTGTTTTATCATTGTCCGGTAATTGGCCGTAAATATTTATTAATTCTAAGTTACTCATGTTCTTTCAGGTCAAATACAGAGAAAAGTACACGTTCATTTAGTTTTGGAATTATTTCCTAAATTGAAGTTGAATTCTGTTTTTTAACGGTGTGAAGAACATCTTAATTGGTCTTATATTTTTAAAGAAATCGTAACTTGAAAAGTGTAATTTTCGAGAGGCTTTGTTTATTTCCTGCGGCCGCAAAGTTCACATCAAAGTCTGATTGACAGGTTAGCGGTGATTTATACAGTCTTTGAAGTGTCAATGTTTTGACAAGTTCCCAGGGAGTCATAACCCTAATTATACATGTCCCTGGGCCAAGGGTATAGACCAATCATAAACATGCGCTTAAAACATGCGCACACATCGTGGGGGAAGGATCATTTTCTATTAGCGCATTGGCGCGTGGCGCGTTAGCGCGTAGCGCGTGTTTTCATTATAACCGTCTGTTCACCACATTTCCTCATAGTCGGCACAGAGAATGGAATCATTAAACTATATGACTTATCCAGAAGGTATGGTATAGGAAAAACTATGTTCTGTATACTCATTGCTTTAGGCTAAGGATTGATATGAAAGTTTAATTACACCAGTCTGAGATTGAATTTTTCAAATACTGAATTTATTATTAATTAATTATTAAAAAGAAGTCAGTGTTTGATGAAAATCTGACTTAGAATTTTTGTTTTTAGTGTTTCAACTTAAAGAATTAATAGCTGACAACTCTTTTTTTACGTCACCATATTATTTTCTGATCATCATTCAGCATCGGTGCACATGTACTTACACTTTTGTAATTCCTACCAAATGGTCACATTTTGACATGTTAATTAATGCCTTGGTCTTTTTAATTTTGGATGAAATCACCCGATTTGTCTCTTATGTGTTCTAGGGAGGCCAAGCAGATAGGAACTGCAAAGAATATGACTGACGTCATCTCACATTTTGGGGGATTTGTATCACTCAGGTGTAACTGTGCTGGAAATAAAGTCAGTCTCTGTATTAAAAAGGTGAATATTTTCAGAAATATATTCATAAATGTTCCTGATATTAAAAATCTAACGTAAATACACATTATCTATTGTTTGATAATATGTATGTATTTAGAGTAAGGACAAATGCATCTCATGCAAAACTTAACCTATAATCTGTGTATGTTCGTTTGTTCTCCAGCCCAATGGTAGCACAGACAGTAAACTGTATATCTGGGACACTGAACTAGACACTTTACAGTACTTTAACTTTGAGACTGGTAAAGGAGAACAAGATGACTTCGCTCCTGGCACAATGGAAAGTGACCAGGAAACTGCAGAAGAGAGGTATGCTGTCAAAAATATGTTTCAAATACAAAATGTACTTGTATTTACAAATTATGACTAATTAGTGTATTGTTCATGCTTCTGATAATGACATCCCCTACTGTCTGTGTAACTCATATATCACCTCATGAAATTTAGATTTTATTGGGCACCCTATTTTCTGTATTCTTTTTACAGTCTGTTGTGAGAAATATGTTTCAAATACTTATATTTTCAAGTTATGGCAAATAAAGTTCAGTATTTTATTCAATGATAGTGCTAGCAGTCTGGAGATCATTAAGAGATTGCTGCGAAAAGTGAAAATTCCTTAATCAGTTGTAACCATGGATATTATGATGTCATTGTGAGAGAACAATGCACTTTAGACTAGTGTAGGACTAAATTAGGAAGCGTTTATTATAACCTCTCTTATTGCCTGTGCAACTCAGGTAGCAAGTCATGAAACAGATTTTCTTGGGCACACAATTTATTTTCTGTAATCTAACTTGAGTCATTAAATAACTTATATGATACTTTCAATGGGGTCTTTATATGTCAAAACCTTGTATGTTTTCATTTTGTTATTTGTTGTATTCTTCTTTATTAATTCTTTAAATGTAATGTGTCTATACGTATTTAACATATTTCTATCATCTTTATTGTTGACTTCTGTTAACTACCTTTTTAACCTCATGTAGTTTAATATTTTCAACAAATGTTGTATCATATATGAATTAATCCTTTTACTCTATTTTATTTTATTTTATTTTATTTGAGGTTTTGTTGTCTTAAACATTTTTGAATTTCCATAATTTTTCCATTTAATTGTGTATTACCTGATGTCCCTTGTATGAATGTGTCTCACTTGTAGAAGAGCTAAACCTGCCAGGTCTCATAAGTATATGCTGTTTAGGCCAGGGTCACATAAGCCCCCTGGCTCTAAGAAAACCTCTAGGTATTACATAATGTACCTGTATATTGTTATCCCAACACAACCCAGCATGAATTTGGAATGTTTCCCACCTCCTTCCCTGTTGAACCCCCTTGCATGTCCTCGTTGACGGAGTATATTTCCCTTCATCCTGATTAGTGGAGTGAAATTTCTCCCACCTCCATCCCCATTGAATCACCTTGCATGTTACTGTTGACTTCCCCTTTTTCCTGACGTAACACAGCATTTATTATAGGTGACTTTAGGAAGTTGTAACACCTACATCATAGTTAGCAAAACCTAGAGTTAGTAAAACCCAAATATCAACAAAACCCTAATATTCCCCAGGCTTAATCTTGGAAATTGTTTGGAATAATTATAATGAACTTAAGATTATCAATCAAGTACAATAAAATGCTCTAAATGCTAAAATAAGCGAGAGTGGCAAATCTGATTTTGTTGTCTGAGAGGAGAAAAATTAAATTGTGAAGTGGCTAAAAGAGAGATATTCTAGAAGGCTCCATGATTTTTTTCTGTCATGACTGTTATTTGTCGGTATTATGATGAAATTATTCAAATATTTGAAACAATCGAAAAAATCTTGATCTTTATCCATTCAATACTGGATTAATATAAAATTCCTCTGCATGCTTGATTGATTTTAGGATTGGCATATCTGTATATAATCAATTTATGATTAAAATTAGCTTCATGTTTTCCCTTGTTAATTTTTATTTTGACAGAACATTATTTAATTTAATTTTGATTTGATTTAATGTGTTATGCACATGCACCATTTTATATTAATGTATAAGATGCAATTTCTGCACTTTATAGTAGGTCTAGGTAAATGTGCATTCTAAATATTACCTCCACAATTTCACAATATTTATTTGTATAAATTCATGTATTTCAGGGTATGTGTTAGAAACCCTGTAACACCAAATAATATTACGTCCCTCTTTTAAATGAGGCCAATTTTTTCAAAAGCACAATTCCCATTGGCTTTGGGTCTCAGAGCACTTGCAGTGTTCTAGAGTGGTTCTTTGTACCTGGGTAAATGCCCAGACCTTTCAAAAAACGTTGATGAATGCTTTATTTTTGGTCAAAAGCAAGGAGCATACTAAATCTCTTTTGTCAAAACTCGAGAATGGTGCAGGAATGGCTATATCGTTGTATAGCGATATATATCGCTATACTGCCTCTCATTGACTTACATGTGATATATTCGATATATATCGTCGATATATAAGGCTATATAAAATCTGGCCAGATATACTTCTCCAGATTTTATCATGTTCCTAGCATTTACCCATGACGATATACACGCAATATTCGATATGTATCCTCTTGCCAAGATATAGAGCGATATACACACGATGTATACGCTATATTTGATATATATATCCTGTCTTTAAGATATATATCGGATATATATCCCCAATACAGGGGTTTGTTGAATCAGTTCTTACAAGTATCCATGATGATATACACGATATAGACGATATAGACGATATATTCTATATATATCCTCTTTCCAAGATATAGAACGATATAAACATGATATATACGCTATATTCGATATATATCATGTCTTCAAGATATATATCGGATATATATCCCCAATACAGGCTTTGTTGAATCAGTTCTTAAAATTATACACGAAGATATACACGATATACACGATATATTCGATATATATCCTCTTTTCAAGATAAAGAGCGATATACACAAGATATATACGCTATATTTGATATATATCCTGTCTTCAAGATATATATCGGATATATATCCCCAATACAGGGTTTGTTGAATCAGTTCTTAAAATTATTCATGACGATTTACACGATATACACGATATATTCGATATATATCCTATTTTCAAGATATAGAACGATATACACAAGATATATACGCTATATTCGATAAATATATCCTGTGTTTAAGATATATATCGGATATATATCCCCAATACAGAGATTGTTAAGTCGGTTCTTACAATTGTCCATGACGATATACACGATATACACGATATATTCGATATATATCCTCTTTTCAAGATATAGAGCGATATACACAAGATATATACGCTATATTTGATACATATCCTGTCTTAAAGATATATATCGGATATATATCCCCAATACAGGGTTTGTTGAATCAGTTCTTAGAATTATACACGACGATATACACGATATACACGATACATTCGATATATATCCTCTTTTCAAGATAAAGAGCGATATACACAAGATATATACGCTATATTTGATATATATCCTGTCTTCAAGATATATATCGGATATATATCCCCAATACAGGGTTTGTTGAATCAGTTCTTAAAATTATTCATGACGATATACACGATATACACGTTATATTCGATATATATCCTCTTTTTTCAAGATATAGAGCGATATACACAAGATATATACGCTATATTTGATATATATCCTGTCTTCAAGATATATATCGGATATATATCCCCAATACAGGGTTTGTTGAATCAGTTCTTAAAATTATCCATGACGATATACACGATATGCACGATATATTCGATATATATCCTCTTTTCAAGATACAGCGATATACAGACGATATATAGGCTATATTCGATATATATCTTCTTTTCAAGGTATAGAGCGATAAACTAATGATATACACGATATATTCGATACATATCCTCTTTTCAAGATATTGACCGATATACACATGATATATACGATATATTCGATATATATCCTATAGAGCGATATACTAACGATACATACGCTATAGTGACCGAGGGAAATATCGATATCATCCGAGGGATATTACCCATATCATCCCGACAGGTGAATAACGACCTTATACCATGGTCAAGAGCAACATCTACCCAAAATCTTCTGTTGAATGAGAGAAAAAAGGATTGAATCTTAGAAATATTTACGTTACATACACTCCCCTCCGTAAGTTTGGCAATCTTAGTTCCCTCATTGAACTACGTGTTAAAGCCTCTTCATGTTTGAATTTCTATTTCCATTACCTGCGAGGAAAATACTTATAATATTGATGAGAATGTAATTTAATTCATTTCCAATGCCTCCAAATGTTCACAATTCTTCCTCAATTGCAATAGGTTGAAAATTGATGATAAATCTGATGAATTTGGGAAAATCGACATTCCCATGTAAACCAATGGGAAATGGTAAGTTTGCCGCAAGTCATATGTTTGAATATTTATCCATCTGAGATCTTGCAAAAAATGCAAGTTAGGTGGCCAAAATTGTATTTGCTTACTTTGTTTAATAAAAATTTGATATGTTTCCTCAGTTTTAAAAAGTTATAGGTCTTCAAAGTCAAATTTATTTTTCTGTTACTTAAGTATTCATAAAGTAAACTGAACACTTAGAGTACAAAAAGTAGACAATTCAATTTTCTATAATTATAAAAATATTTTAGGTGAGTCTTTTACTGGTTAGATACCCGGAAATCAAATTTGCCCCGAACCCACCATTTTCCATTGGTTTACATAGGAACGACGATTTTCACATATTCATAAAGTTTATCATCAATTTTCGACCTATTGTGATTGAGGAAAAAATTGGGAAACCTTGGGGGCATTGGAAATGAAGTCAAGTTACATTTCCATCAATACACATTTTCCTCACAGGTTATGTTAAATAAAATTCGAACAAAAAGAGCCTTTAATATGTAGTTCAATGAGGGGGTTTCATTTACAAACTCATTTTTGGAAAAAATAAATTTTTGGAAATAAATTTAATTTGTGAAAAAAAGATACCTACTTGATATTTGTCTTGATATCAAGATACTTAACGAAGATATACACGACTTTTTGGAAAAAATGAAAAATTTGGAAAAAATGAAAATTTTGAAAATATGAAAATTTGTGAAAAACTGAAAAATTTTGAAAATGATTTTTTGGGAAAACATGTAAAAAATGTTAATATACCCGGGATGATATCAATATCATCCCTGATATCATCCCTCTAATCCTGAATATCTTGAAAAGAGGATATATATCGAATATATCGTATATATGGTGTGTATATCGCTCTATATCTTGGAAAGAGGATATATATCGAATATATCATGTATATTATGTTTGAAAAATATAAGAACTGATTTAACAAAATTGTAAACTGGGAATATATATCCGATATATATCTTGAAGACAGGATATATATCGAATACCCTATTTTTCAAGCACGATATACACGATATATTCAATATATATCCTCTTTCCTAGATATAGAGCGATACACACGCGATATATACGCTAAAATCTATATATATCCTGTCTTCAAGATATATATCGGATATATATCTTCAATACAGAGGTTTGTTAAAAAGTTCTTATATTTATGGATGACGATATACACGATATACACGATATATTCGATATATATCCTACCCCAGAGATATATATCGGATATATTTCGATTTGAGGATCGGAAGAGATAGTTCCACGAATATATCTTCTGAGAGACGATATATATCGCTATACGACGATATAGCCATTCCTGCACCTTTATGCAAAACTCAGACTATGAAATCAGTTAGTTTAAATGTCTTTGAATCCCTTGTTATGGCCTCATCTGCCACATTGACTCGTTACAATTTTATTATGCATACTATATATTGTTCTTTTGAGACATTGTTTATTCCAATTTCAGAGGGAAGAACCAAGCGGCTCGTGATATTGCAGGTAGATTCCCAATCTCCCATTTCTGGGATCCATTGGAGACTAAACTACTGGTCTGTGAGACTAAATCATTGCCTAACCAACAGAGCAAGCTGAACCAAAGTATTTCTCTCACATCATCCATGTCTAGGGCTACTCTAGAACAACCGGTAGGTACAGTTAAGCTCTTGACTGTCTAAATACATTATTACATTTTTTTATTATTTGGATCCCCTTTATAGACCCCATGTTATTCAAAGCTGTATTTTCCTGTTCAGGAAGATTTATAATGACAGCAAACGAAAATTATGTTAATTTCTCTCTCAGATTTGATCAGTTTTCTTTTAAAAAAACTGAAAGGGATTCAGGCTCTTCATAAGCAGAACAACTTTGTATGTCTCTTGCATCATCAATGTTTTGGTCTACCTCAGTCTCATCACTGAACAATTATTGAACAACCCTCGTAATTTTTAAACAAAATGACCGTTATTTGCACTGTTGAGAAATGATCGTGTTATTTTTTATTTCAGCCAGAAATGATGATCGTTTCTCTGTTCGTAACACCAGAGAATGGGGTCCTCATTCAGGACAGTTTTTCTATGAAGAAGTCTCACAGCTCTATGCTTGGAATGCAGGTGCCCTATTACTACTTTGCTAGGAAGGTAAGTGAAGCCAGGGTATCAGCCAGGCCCGTAGCCAGGGGGATTCGATGGGTTCGAGCGAACCCCCCTCTGGCCAAAAATTCTTCAAAATCATGCAGTTTTTCACCATTCTGAGCACATTTTAAGTGATTTTGGCCATTTTTTGACCAAAATTGTCAAAAGTGAACCCCCTGGAATTTTCAAAAAAGTAAACCCCCCTTGGCAAATCCTGGCTACAGGCCTGTCAGCTATAGTAAATGGCCTGATGTATTAGATGAATAACAATTAGATATGTTCAGTGGAATACCTCTGTAAGTTGAACATCTCTGCAAGTGGAACACTTTTCAAAGTCATGTTATCAATTTACTTAATGTAAAATTAACCTTAAAACACAATAAATCTTGAATATTAGTAGACTTTGATCGGTGATGTATTATTGGTCCCTCCAAGATAGCCCATGAAAATGCTTACTCATTTTCTTTTTAAAATAACCTTGTTTAGAATTTTATTCTCAGAACTAGCAAATATATGTACTTAATCTAACTTTAATAATTCGGGTGAAATAAGGACATCTCTATATACAGTTTAGTTGTGAAAACAGAAAACTAATATAAAACCATTTTATAGGCTGAAGATACAGACAAAGCCGATGCCAATGCTGCACTAGACGAGAGCATGAACCGTCCACAGACCACTGCAGCGCCATCTTTCACATCAAAGGCTGTTTCACGACGTACTATGCGTGATTTCATTGGTTTAGAGGATGCAGATAAGAATGCGCGTGATGCCATGATGAACTTTAGCTTCTATCTGACTATAGGGAATATGGATGAAGCATTCAAGGCTATTAAATTAATCAGGAGGTATGCATGCTTTTTATGTCCCCACCACATCACCACATAGTGTTTACTTGTAAAACTTGTAAGGGAGGTGGGAGGATTAGGCACTGTTTTCTCTTTCTTGTATTCTGTAACCATTTTTGGTACTTTCCCATTGACACTTGCGCTGATACATATTGTTAAAGTCATAGACATTTTATTATAAATTGAGGAAAATCATTTTTCTAATCATTTTATTTGTAAAAAATTACATATGATCTTTATCTACCATATCATATGCGACACATTTTCATATTCCTTTGATAGAGAATTGGATGCGCTTTCAAGATTAATTCCCTTCTATTCTATTTTGGATAACATGCATTGTCTTTTAATTATTTTTTATTTTGAAATACCGCATTGTCTTATCTTAGTATAATTTGATTAGCAAAACTGAATAACTATTAGATAAGGGGAGGCATCAAAAGTTCGATGTCATATCGAAAACTAAATAAATCTGGTTAGGGGGGAGGGGTTCAAAGCCATTTCAGCTTGCTATCCGACATATCTTCAAATTCTCAAACTGGAAGTCAGCGTTCAACTTTCATGATATTTAGTTTTTTTGGGGGGAGGGGGGTCAAAGTCAAAACTAGATTTATTTAGTTCGATCCAACATCAAACTTTTGATGCCTCCCATAAGGAAATTGAAGGTCATAAGATTGTAAAACATCATAAAAACATTTAGTACTGCCACCTATTATTAATAACAAAACATGGTCATGTTTTATATTCATATTATATTACAATCATTATATTTTAATTCATAATATCATACAATATAATTTGATATTTGATTAACATTGATTTCTTATCTAAAGATACATCATACCTAAACATTATATAATATTAGATTTTTTAGCATCTCAGTTTATCTGAAATCTCATTTTTTATTCCATGTATTTATCTAAACTGGTATGTAAATGCAATTGTTTTATAATATTTAGTAATTTACAATGATTAAACTGTCAGTATATATCATAAATGATGTCAGAATAGAATAATCTAATTGGAGTCTGTGTGACTAATCTAAATTAAAATGGTTTTTCAAAATGCTGTTTTTGTGGTTTGATATCACAGAATCATATAAATAACTTTGACCTATAGTCTTAACAGCAAATTAACTGTTGCTCAGTTATAAACAAATACTGGATGACCATGAGGTGGATATGCCAGAATACCTATCCGAGGAAAGAATACTAGGCGAAGCGAAGCTGAGCCTAGTATTTCTTTTCGAGGATAGGTATTCTGGCATATCCACCTCATGGTCATCCAGTATTTATTTTATTATGCACCTCCCTTGAGAAATACTTTATTTTAAAGAATGGGTCTACTAAAACAGAAGCCGAGCCTAAAAATCCTGGTGTTCGACAATCAAAAATTCCATTTATCGCTCTCATTTGGCCTTATTCTTACGTATTCCCTCCATATATAATAAGTTTGGCCGATCCCGTATCTAGCGCCACCTACCTTTTGTCAGTTAATCACAGGAAATTGAATAGAGATCCCCTCCTCTCATATCACGCAAATCTTCTCCCTCGCATTTATCTCAAATTCAACATGGAAGAGATTCTAAGAAAATGACGTCATCAACAATTGGACTCGTCGAAAGTATTTTTTCGAGGATAGGTATTCTGGTATACGGGATGGTTGGAGATCTCGTTGCTTCAATACTGGATAGAACGAGATCTTGCTGCCACGTATGGCAATAGACCCCGCAGCTCTTAACCAATCAGATTTGAGTATTTTAATGAGGTGCATAATAAACACAATTATAACATTGTTCAACATAGTTAATAACCAGTTATACTGCTGACACCTATATGAAGCAACAACCAAAGATGGGGTATTCCTATGATGTATCTATAGATATTCAGATTGTATCATATTACTGTAAATTACTGTTTTGATTGTTGCTTTTGATTAGTTTATTGTTATCTATTCATAGTCTGTGTATCAATGCTGAGGTCATATCCATGTTAACATTTCATATGGCTGTTTGTATCCATGTTAACAATTCATATATCAGTCCTATAGCTATTCGTATCCATGTTGATATTCATTGTTCAATTACTGCTTATACCTGATGACAAACAGGTCTCCACTGCTCTCTGCTCCAACAGTAAGATCACCTTCATTGTTTATTATAACACTTTGTGGATACTTCATACCATCCTCAGGTTCAAGCAAGTACTTGATGAACTTACAATTCTCGTCAACTAATACAACTCTATGGTTGTGTTGGTCAGCAATGATAAGGTTGTTATCAGGATCAATGCAGACACAACTTGGAACATTCAGCTGGTCAGGTCCTCCACCTTGTGTACCATACTTATTGACTTCTTCTCCCTGCATTGTGAATCCTTTCACACAATGTGCACCATAATCTGATATAAATACAGTACTATTACTGTTTATTGTAACAAAGAGTGGATCTGTGAGGTGACCCTTGCCAATAGTAGCTAGTATCTTTCCATCATTGTAATCAACAAGATAAACACACTTGTCAGTGTTGTCAACAACTAGCAGTCCTTTACCTGGTGCTTCACATATACCACATGGTCTTTGGAATTTTCCTATGTTCTTCTGGTGGACAAGGTTGTGGTTGTAAATACTGATACATTTGTTATTGCAATCAATAGCTGCATATAAGTTACCCTGCATACAACATACATCATTGAAACCACCATTGGCTGTGTGCTGTTTGGTGAAGGTGTCTGCAGTATAGCTAGACATACCATCTGGTGACTCATGGCATAATACAATGGTATTGTTGTACCCTTTTGTGGCACCATATATTTCCTTTACACCTTGATTCTTGTCACCTAGTTTAACTTTTCTTGTTACCTTGGGATCACAATATCTAGTTTTCTTCACTATGCACCCTTTATCTAGGGTTTCAGGAATGATTCCATGCTGTAATTTCACCATGTTAGCAGTATCAAATGTTCCAGGTTGATACGTGTATTTGTCAACAGGGTCCTCATCTTCTTCAGGTATTCTTCCCCAATCTTGGAGCTTCTTCGCTGTATCAGTGCTTGAATTCATGATGTCAACAGGATGACCGTGTTTTATAAGAGCTGTAAGGTGAAGAAGGGTACTTTCAGCAATTCCCTTTTCTAACTCATGCTGGTCTTGCTTGGCTTGAATCTTCTTTGTTTTCTCATTAGCTACAGCTTTAGCTTCATTTCGAAGTTTTGTATGATTCTCATTTTGTTCTTTACGTCGCCTCGCCAACTGTTCATCTAGTTCTTTATGAAGCTTTGCAAAATGTTCATCCAGTTCTTTACATTTTGCAGCATGATCTGTATCAATCTCTTTGAGTAGAGACTGTCTATTTTCCTCATATGATTGGAGATTGTCACTTGAATCCTGGATGAACTTCTCGAACAATTCCTTTCTCTGATTGGCTAGTCCAAATAGGGCAGAAATGTTTCGTTTCTCTTTATCAGCTGCTTCTTCGATGGCTTGGCAAGCATGCCCCGGATGTTCCGTGATACAGCAATGTGTGCATACGATTGCTTTATCTTTTGAACAGAAAAACTTTAATGGCTGATCCTGATGCTTCGGGCATTGTATGTTGCGTTTGACATAGTTGTCCAGCGCTAGTCTTGCATCTTTCTCTGGATCTCCAGTCAAATCATACATGTTGTGGGATCGGGTACCTTGAGACCGCTTATGCGACTTGTTACATGCCTGGCATAGGTTTTCAGCACATTCAACACAACGTGATATGGCTGGCACATCATCACCTTCCTGGGCACAAATATCGCAATTAGCCTTCGAGTTCTTATCGCGTGAAAGTTGGTTTTCGAGGATTTCAACCATAGAATTGATGGTAATATTAGTATGGTAGTCATCAACACCATTCTTTGGAATTTCATGTTTTGCGTTGCATATTGGACATGGAAATGTTTCATTTCTTTTCTCCTTATTTTTCTCGATCCACGTTTTCAGACAGTTCTTACAGTAGGAGTGTCCACAGCTAAGGGATTTGGCATTTTTGAATGTCTCAGTGCACATAATACAGGTCAAGAGCTCTTGGTATTCATCAATCAAAGCATTTTTTGGACTCGAAGATGCCATTTTTTTCTTTTTTGGACAGCCACGATCGCACTCAAGAAGTCAAGGTGTTGGAGTTTGTTTTTATCTATAAGCACACAATAACTTATTTTTAAGACAATAAGTAGATGACACTTGAGATAGAATGTAACATTGTACATAGGAGGAGATCAGGATTTTACTTGTTGCATATTAACCTCAAATGGTAAGATCAAATGAGCCAGGCCACAGGAAAAGGGGTCTTCTTACAGATTTTTTCAATATTCTGATTTTTTGTTTATTTTAGAAAGTACAAAGAGACCTTTCAAATGAGCCATGGCTTATGTCTTAACAATTTTGTCCTTGCATATATAGACCAAAAAGTCGGATTTGAATTTAGCACATTTTCCTCTAAATCTTGGGCACATTTTTGGCTTTGTAGCACAATTCTAATTTTTGTGATAAGACCGGTTTTCCTATGGCCAGGCTCAAATGAAGAAGTTGAATAGTACTCATTTCCATGCTTCAACCTCATTGACTAGCATTTCTGTATACACACTATTAATTGTAGCCTTGCCCCAAGTCGGTATTTTTTACTTTTTCTGATCTTGAATTATTACCGCCTTGTGTAATCCGATACATCTCCACCGTTATTATGATAAATTATGCACCAACTATTACGCGTGCCCTATAGCATTAGCCAATAGCGGTAGTCATACACAAAAATCAATAAATAAATCCACGTGTTCGCCATGCGGTTGTGAAGTTATATGCGGCATGCTTGCAGTCTGCAAATCCAGGCATCTCCCTTACAAATAAAACGCATTCACCAGAACCATAATAACTTTTCATTATCCTTTTCACAGCATAACTATAAGTGTTTATATGTGAACTGATCAGTCATCAACTTTCTGATATAAAATCGGTTCACTACATTCAAATTACTTTCAATTATATTTAGCAAATAAAACGTTTATCGATTTTGCGAGGGTCATTTTCAGTTTTGCTAGCTGATAGAAGTAAAGCGAGGTAGGACTTCCCACAATGCCACTATCAAAGGTTCCAATACTAAATTGCTGATTGGAGCAAAATCAACAACTGTATTACCTCGTGTGTTTGTAACCTAAATTTAGACATTGAAAGATCGCGTGCTATTGGTCAAAATCACCGACATAAACAAACTGTCGGTAAAGCACGTGGCTTTCTCTTTGGTACAAGGCGGTCATAATAGAAATCAAGATAAGTAAAAGAGACCGACTTGGGGCAAGGCTATATTAATTGGAAATGCCTTATTTGTATTTTCACTCCTTATTCAGAATTGAATGCTCTTTCTATTGATGAAAGAAAGTATATATGTGAATTTAACAAATAGATTAGTTTTTGCAATGGAGGAGAATAGTCACCATTTGACACCCTGTCTAAGAATTTTTTTTTAACATCGTAAGACATACTGTAACCCTAAACCTACATGAGAGCTTAAAGGAATAAAACCAGAGCTAAGATCAATTATTGCACTTCAAATTATATTACTATCCAAAACCTGTAATTACAGCCATGTTATGCATCATTCAATACAAATAAAAGTAAAAAGAGAGGAACTCACTTATTCATTTTTCTCTATTTTGACACATATTAACAATGATCAAAAGTAATTTATCAGAAGTAAATAAATTAGTCAATAAATAATGAATTATATTTATTTGTTTATTTAATTGAAATTTTGGGAAATGAAATACTAAGTTGAGGCCTACCTTATTTCATATGCAGCAAGTGAATACACAATGGCGATGTCACATTTGCTCCGTCATGATCAATGTCACATTTGCTCCGTCATGATCGATGTCATATTTGCTCCGTCATGATCGATGTCACCTTCAAATAAATTTTTTGTTGATGGCCTTAATCTTTTATATCATTCCAAAGTGTATAGTTGGAGACTTGCCAAACTTGAGGATGTATATTCACGTGTTAGATTACGTACTAGCCTGGGACGTGCTGCAAATAAAATATATTCACATTATTCTGAACTAGATAGTTGTAAAGCCACATACAATAATTGGAATTGGAATGTACTCGAATATGTTTAGAAACAATAACATTCTGATCCTTTAATGGTCTGTCATATTTTGATTCCAGTGAAAGTGTTTGGGAGAACATGGCTAAGATGTGTGTGAAGACTAGAAGGTTAGATGTCGCCACTGTCTGTCTGGGCAACATGGGGCATGCTAGGGGGGCTAAAGCTTTACGTGAGTCAGTTGCTGAACCAGAATTAGATGCCAGGGTTGCTTGCTTGGCAGTGCAACTGGATTTACATGTAAGTTTAGTTTACATTTAATGTTCTCATGTATTGTTTTTTGTAACTTCTAAAAAAGATCTGTACAATATTTCTGATCCATTTTATGTTATTGCCCTTTGACTTTTCAGGAATATATTTAGGATATCCTATGATTTTTTATGGCTACCATTTTTATCCATGAGGGGATATCGCCCATCTCCAGGAGTGAGCACAGCGATTGGGTGGAGATCGGAGATATCCAAGAGTGGATAAAAATGATAGCCCTAGAAAATCATAGGATATCATATTTACCCTATGGTCTCAATTTTTGTATGGACTTAAAATAATTTGACCTGAAAGGTTGGAAACGATTTTAGTGGTGCATACCAAAATTATCTTGTGTCATTATCCCCATATATATTAAGATATCTCGTCCCTTAGGTGTATATAAATCAGATCAGATCTATAATTGTTTGAGAATTAGTCTACAGATTGTTGAGATATTCAAGTAAAGTGTAATGGACTCTCCTGTTCCAACTTTGAATATTTATTAGGGTGGTCCAAAATATGGCGAAAAACCAACTTTCTTTCGGATCATCTTCCTCATTTGACTTACTGTTGTCCATGACCTAAAACACCTGCACACCAAATTTTGAGACCCAAATCCCATGGGAAATTTACCCACGTTCGACTGAAAAATTCGGTTATTTCATGATTTTTTGCTATTTTCGATAAATTGCCATCTCCTTTTTCCTGGTATAAAATGTTTCTATTTTTTCATAATAAACATTTTTGTAGGACTCTTTATTACTTAATAATACTAGGAGCCCAACACCAAATTTTGAGACCCAAATCCCATGTGAAATTTACCCATGCTTTGACTGAAAAATTGTGATTTTCACAGTTTTGTCCGATTTTCAATAGATTACTGTCTCCATTTTCCTGGTATAATATGTTTCTATTTTTTTCATAATAAATATTTTTGGATGACTCTTTATTACTTCATAATACTAGGAACCCATACACCAAATTTTGAGACCCAAATCCCATGGGAAATTTACCCATGGTTTGACTGAAAAATTGTGATTTTCACATTTTTTCCGATTTTCAATAAATTGCTGTCTCAATTTTCCTGGTACGATATGTTTTTATAATAAACATTTTTGAGGACTCTTTATTACTTCATAATACTTAAAACCCATACACCAAATATCCACCAAATTTTGAGACCCAAATCCAATGAGAACGTTACCCATGCTTTGACTGAAAACTGGTGCTTATGATAGCTTATGATGTCTGTTTTAGGGGCATAATATGTTAATAAACATTATGGTAATTCCTTCTTAATCCAAAGAAACACCTAAATATCAAGACTTTAAGTCTTATTGAAAGGCGACAAATTCAGTAGTTTGGGGAAAATTTAGGATCTTTTACTTGTACATTTATATACTGTGGTTAATATTAAGAAGTGATGACTCGACAGCAACTCAAATGCCTTGAAGATTTGGTTTGTTGGTTTCAGTAGGGATACATCACATGACTTTGTTTGGATTTGTGTGAGATGTCATATTCTTTCTCACATCTTTGCAGGGTAAGGTCAAATATCAAATCTGATTTTCTTTGGGGAAATGATTTTTTGATTGATCAATGTATCAATGGCATGGTCTCTGTTGTAACCAGTAAGCCTGTACCAAATCTTCAAGGGATTCGAGCTTCCACTGAGCTTTGTCATTTCTCTGAAAATGTTCATGCCCTGAAAGTACACAATGTAGAAGATAGGAAGAGCAATGAGAAAGGTAATTCTGTATGTTCAGAAATTTTAAGTGGAGTCCAATGTTATTTCTGGAACTCATTCCATACTTGGTCAGCTCTTTCAATTTTACACTGAGTTCAAATATGTATTTAGATTATTAGTTGATGGTTAGTAATTTTCTATAATGTAGTATGTGCTATGTTTATACACTGTTTGTGCATCTGAATGGAATGAGTTATGTGTTCCTAAAAAAACACGGGGCTCCAATTAGGAAGCCATTAAAACTGAAAATAAGGAATTACCTTAAAGTACTATATAACCATCTTTCACGATGTAACGTATGTAAGGCCAAACAGGATAATTAAGACAACGTGTAATACAATTTATTACAAATTGCACATCACACAACAATGATATGGTGCTCTAAACGACAAAAATCAAAAGTATATGATCAAAGCAAACGTGAATTTCCCATGGGGTTCAGGTCTAAACATTTGGTACATATTAAATGTATGGGTTCCTAGTATTAAGAACGTATTAATGTCCTCCTAAAATGTTTAAAAACTAAATATAAGATTAATGTTGATCTATTGAAAATAGGAGAAAATTTTTGGTTGAAGCATGAATTAATTTCTCATGGGGCCAGGGTCTCAAAATTTGGTGCATATTTGGGGCATGGGTTCCTCGTATTATGAAGTAATAAAGAGTCCTCCCAAAATATTTATTATAAAAAATAGAAACATATAATACCAGGAAAATAGAGATGTATTGTATTGTATATGAAATAACCCAATTTTTCAGTCGAAGCGTGGGTAAATTTCCCATGGGATTTGGGTCTCAAAATTTGATGTATGGGTTCCTAAGTATTTTGAAGTAATAAAGAGTCATTCAAAAATATTTATTATGAAAAGACATCTACCATTTTATACCAGGAAAATGGAGATGGCAATTTATCGAAAATAGCAAAAAATCATGAAATAACCGAATTTTTCAGTCGAAGCGTGGGTAAATTTCCCATGGGATTTGGGTCTCAACATTTTGTGTATGGGTTCCTAGTATTATGAAGTAATAAAGAGTCCTACAAAAATGTTTATTATGAAAAAATAGAAACATATTATATCAGGAAAAGGGAGATGACAATTTATCGAAAATAGCAAAAAATCATGAAATAACCGAATTTTCAGTCGAAGCGTGGGTAAATTTCCCATGCGATTTGGGTCTTAAAATTTGGTGCGCAGGTGTTTTAGGTCATGGACAACAGTAAGTGAAATGAGGAAGATGATCTGAAACAAAGTTGGTTTTTCGCCATATTTTGGACCACCCTAATATTTATAGGCTACTAATTAACATTTTATTTTATGACAGAAAATGAAATTTGAATGTTTTTTTTGAATATTTGAGAAAGTACAATATGTGTTGGATGCCAACCATGATACATAATCTGTCAGCTATAAAGTGAAAATGCTATGTTTGAAATGTTGCAGGAAGATGCAGTGAGGCCACTGAAAAATTGTAAACGGTATGACCTTTTAAATGACTTCTACCAGAGCAATGGCCAATGGGGCAAGGCCATGGAGACAGCTGAGATGTATGACAGGGTACATCTGAGGACAACGTACTACAACTATGGCAAACATCTAGAGACCAAAGGAGACGTCAATGGAGCAATTCCAAAGTAAGTCTATTTTCATTAGGTTTAGGATTATTTTACAAAATATCACTCAATAAGAAGGCTTAGGTAAATGCTAATTTAAATGCTAACAAGTAAGTACATTTCCATCTGATATTGCTTTGGTGAAATAAACTATTTATGTTTAAAAGGTGTCATACATGTATGGAAGGAACACAATGATCATTTTGGATTCTAAATATATGCAAGTGATCATTTTTAGCAAAGAATATCAAAGAAAGAATGGATCCACTTGGGCAGTTTTCTATCATATATGTACTTTACAAATGTCTAAAACATAGCTTCCTTATGCCATGATAGATTGTGACATTATTAAGTTCATGATTTTCAGCTATGAGAAGTCTGAGACGCACAGGTTTGAGGTTCCAAGGATGTTGTTTGATGACACACAGATGTTAGAGAACTACATTGTCAAGAATAAAGACAAGTAAGCATTTACAGATCATCCAGATTTGTTGATGAGTCTGATTTGTTAGTTAAATCATGAAGTACATTTACAAAAAAAGTACAAAAAAATGAAGTACATTTCAGAAAAAAGTACAGCCAAACCCTAAGAATAGATTATGTACGAACGTTTGCTGAACTTGTATTCCTGACAAATAAATCTTATAATCTTTAGGCAGTTGCGTAAATGGTGGGCCCAATATATGGAGAGTGCAGGAGAAATGGAGACAGCTTTACAGTTCTACGAGGCTGCAGCCGACTATCTCTCTCTAGTGAGAGTCTACTGTTACTGTGGCAACCTTGACAAGGTACGTAACTGCTTATAATTCTAAACCTATAGACTTTCCAATATGGCTGCTCAATTTAAAATGGCAACAACTTTTTCATAAAAATAGAATTTTTAATAACTCAAATACCAATGTCAGATTTTATGTGCTCAAGAAGAAATTTTCAATATTGCTACTGAATTCAAAATGACCACCATTTTTTAGAAGAAATGATTGTTGAAATCAAAACCTTATGGGCATAAACCTCTTCTTGACAACGAATGCCTTGTCAAGGGTGTATATTTTGAAAAAAGGAGACAATACTACAGCCTGGTTATTTCTAACATGTAATATTCAAAATGATGTCAGTGATTTGTGATATGTCATTGTCAGTGATAAAATATGTTTTTTCAGTGGGATTGATTTTTCTAGCGAGTTGCTGTTGCTATTTAATATGTTGAAAGGTTGATAATCTGATTTAATTATATTGGATGTGTAGCAGTAAGTCAACATAATGGAACAAAAAACTTATCATGTCTTACATTGTAGGCAGCTGAGATCTGTAATGAGACTGGGGACAGGGCAGCATGCTATCATCTAGCAAGACAATATGAGAACAACAATGAAATCAAACAAGCCATTCACTTCTTCACCAGAGCCCAGGCTTATGGAAATGCCATACGACTATGCAAGGTCGGTAAAAATATAGCCTTTGTTAGGACTAGATATAGGCCAGGACTCAGCATGGGTTTTGGGAAGTTCAAGGGCCACTTGATAGACATAATGTTTCTGAAAGATGACTTCATTTAGCATCAAATTATATATGTCTGGGTCTTTTTAGTTTGTGGACGAAGGATTCTGAGCAGTTTTACCCCCCTAGAATAATATTTCAGGGGGGTACTATATTATCATTCTATAAAATCAGTTATACATTATCTATAGCACTGATATATACATATTATGTTGCTAGCACTGTAGTCAAGTGTTTCCCAAAGTTATAGGGAGATATGTTAATTGGTTCGGGAGAAAATATAATTTATCGAAATAAAACGCATAGTTTCGTTATCTTTTTATTTTCACCAATCTTATTTTTGCAGCTTCAGAGAAATGACAGTCAGTAATAGTGCTCCAAGTAGTAATCAAAAATCATTTCCAGGCTATGTGTGACATTGTAATATAAGGAATGTAATGATTGAGTACTATTTTGCATTTTTAATATGGCTTTGTTGACCCCTACCCCTTACCCCTTTTTAGTCTTACCGATTTTATTGTTGCAGCTTCAGAGAAATAATAGGCAGTAACAGTGCTCCAAGTAGTATTCAAAAATGATTTCCAAGCTATATGTGACATTGTAATGTAAGTAATGTAATGATAAAGTACTATTTTGTATTTTTAATATGGCTTTGTTGACCCTTACCCCTTTTTAGTCTTACCGATTTTATTGTTGCAGCTTCAGAGAAATAATAGTCAGTAACAGTGCTCCAAGTAGTATTCAAAAATCATTTCCAAGCTATGTGTGACATTGTAATGTAAGTAATGTAATGATTGAGTACTATTTTGTATTTTTAATATGGCTTTGTTGACCCCTACCCCTTACCCCTTTTTAGTCTTACCGATTTTATTGTTGCAGCTTCAGAGAAATAATAGGCAGTAACAGTGCTCCAAGTAGTATTCAAAAATCATTTCCAAGCTATGAGTGACATTGTAATATAAGTAATGTAATGATAAAGTACTATTTTGTATTTTTAATATGGCTTTGTTGACCCCTACCCCTTAGAAATACAAGAACGCGGAGGGGGCACAATTGGATCAGAGATTCTATGATGACTACTTATGTCCTGCCTTGTATATTATTTTCTTCAAGAATAAGTTTCACAAATGTCATAAAACAAATTTCTTGGGTCAAAAGCCTGTTTCAATGTTTATATATAGACCTAATGAATATAACATTATGGGCCGAAAGAAAATAATGTACATGCTAAGAATGCCTATTAATATAGAGTGCACAATGTAAAGTTTGACATAATTAGAATTTTCCTAGTGAACATGAACATTATACATTCTCAAATATTATGCACCATTCAAAGAGTCCTGAGAGCAGAGATTTCAAAAGTATATTGTTAATAATAGGAATTTTCACTATATTTGACTCTCTATTATTGCTTCCAGGGTGGGGAAGTTGACTCAATAGGTTACTCCCATGATTTGAGTTTGACAGCTCAATCTTTATTTTGTCAAAACCTCCACCACTTCCCATGTGGGGGTCTCACGCAAACCCTTGAATTATGCTCAACTGCACATGGGTAAAGGGGATATTTGAAGAAATAATTTTGGAATAAGTGAGAAAAGTCCAATCCTTCTCCCTTATTAATTGAATGAAATAGGGGGAGGGGGAGTCATTCGGAGTTTCTTCAGAGTCAGAGGTACATGCAAACTTTATCTATTGTAGAATCATTTTTAGATATAAAAGGAATATTATAAGAAATACTTCTGAACAATCATTTCTGTCTTTCTCCTTTTGCTCATGGATAAAGTGGAGCAGAAGGGGGTTAAGTGGTATCATAATGAATGAAACATCTTGGTATCATGAATGAAATGAAACATCTTTCTGAACCTCATTGGAACAAAACGACATAAACACAACGTGTGTAGGTCTCTCAATATTGTAATCGTACAAAGGAAGGTTTGGTTGATATCAAAAAAGTATCTTGTTAATGAAATTAAAGGTTGAACTTAATTTTTTATCTATTTTGGGGGGTTTGTTTTTGCATACTTATTGTAAAATCAACCAAAATTTCCTTTGTATAACTGTAATATTGAGAGATCTAAGAAAATGTTGTATATGCTATTTTGTTCCAACAAGGTTCGGAGAGACATTTAATTTCATTCTCAAGAATTGGTAGAAAGGAACAAAAAAAAATTGCACTAAAAAAACAAAAAATGTTAACAGTTATATAAAATATATATAAATAATTTTTGCATTAAATTGTTGCCAATCGGTCAAAATCACATAAAGGACCGTGTTTTTTACAGAATGTTTTCAATAATTGGTTTAAGAGAAAAACATTGTTGAATTCAGTTCACCATATCGATACCTATCCTTTTTCTTGGGAGCAAAAACTGTTTACAGTTCCAAACATGACCCTCTGAGGTAGTATATATAAGCTTTATAAGTCATATTACGATTTCCCTTTGAAGCACAAACTGTAAACAGTTCCACACTCCACCCTCAGAGGTACATATATATATATAAACTTTATCTACTGTAGAATCCCTTTATGGCTATGTTATTAGAAATACTTTTGGAATAAGTGACTGCTGTCTATCTCCCTTTGTTATAGTATTTTGTGGATGTTGTTAGAGGGTTGGCAGTTGGCAGTCAATGGTCGACATCTGTAGCAAATGGCAGGTGGAGACATTTTACATCTCCATTTGTTAATGAATGAGGTGAGGGGGAGGTTAAGGTAGATTAAAATTCTCCTTGGGAGCACCATCAGCCATCATGTCCATCAGCCATCCTCTATCGATGAATTGGGAAGGGATAAGTCATATAAGAATTTTCCTCCTTTGTTAATGAATGGGGTGAGGGGAGGTTAAGGTACAACTGTAGATTAGAATTCTCCTTGGGAGCACAAACCACAAACATTATACAGTTTCTTAACCCTCAGAGAAACGGGTGAAATGTATCAACTGTAGAATCTTGCCATGGCTTTAAAAGGTTTGCTTTATGAACTACATGTACTTTTGGAATAAGTGAGTATATACTCATGAAGGGAGTGGGACAGGGGGGTTAACAAATAAAATATATAATCCCTTCATGAATAAATCATATAAGAATTTTCCTCGGAAGCACAAACAGCTTACAGCTCTACAACGCATCCTCAGAGATGCAGCTGAACTTCCCGAGTGAGAATTCTTTCATGGGTAAAGGTGTATTTTAGAGTCACATGTGAATTTAATCAACTGTAGGATTTCTTCAGTGGTAAACAGTGCATTTAGGCTATGTGAATAAGTATGTAACATCAATTGTCCCTATTGAATGATTATAGGGGGGGGGGTATAGAAGATGCTGATATGGCTACTTCCTATTAAACTATATTTAGTTTTAAGATTGACAGCATAGACTCAATAGTAATTACCTGTTCCCCCTGGAAGGAATCCCTTAGCTGATAAAATGCACATGTGCCTGCCTGGGTAAGCTATGCTGGACTAGACAGAGCTGATGCTTCAAGGCATCATTGGGATGTAAATTATTGTACTTTTAAGGATATATTAAATGAAATAATGAGCATACAAATGCAGACTGGTGCATCTGAATAAGAATCGTAAGACCTTGACTTCTAAAGAGAAATTCTTGATAAAGTTTTAGAAAAGAAAAATATAAAAACAAGAATTTTACATGAAGAAATGACCCTTTAGACTAAAGGCATCCAGAATTTTTTTTTTTAAAAACAGTTGATCATTACAAAATTATAACATTATTCCATAATAGCATGTTTTCCCTGGGAAATAAACAGGGAATAGAATTGATATTCAAAAGATCCCATATATTATAGCTAGATTCCTATATCAGATCCCGAATTGGATCCTGTATCAGCCTAAATCACATATCAGATCCTATATCAGAACCATTCCCGGGGATTTCTCTTCTCTTGATTTTTATGTTTCAGAAAAAAAAAACAATTTAATATATAGGTTATTGATGGTGTTGGTGGAATATGAATTTTATTTATTTTATTCGCCTCGAGAGCTATCATATTAACCAACTCGGGCTATTGCCCTCAGTCAATATGATGTTTTCCTTGGCCAATATCATATTTTCCCTCAGAATAAAATTCATATTCCATCCCTCCCATTAAATTACCTCTATATATCACACATACATTTTTAAAGTGCTACTTGGAGAAGTATTAGTACTCATTATAGAATTTCTGATCTAATTGTGCCACCTTCACTTTCTCATATTTCTAAGGGGTAGGGGTCAACAAAGCCATATTTAAAATTCCAAATAGTATTGTATCATTACATTCTTTATATTACAATTCCCCACATAGATTGGAAATAATTTTAGATTACTTCTTAAAGCAGTATTGGTGCCAATTATTTCTCTGAAGCTGCAAAAATAAAGTTGGCGAGACTAAAAAACGAATGAAAATATGCTTAGTTATTACTATAAATTGTGTTTTTGTCAAAACCGATCAACAAATCTCCCTATAACTTTGGGAAACACTTGACTACAGTGCTATAGTTAATGCATAACTGATTTTATAGAATGATAATATAGTACCCCCCTGAAATATTATTCTAGGGGGGTAAAACTGCTCAGAATCCTTCGTCCACAAACTAAAAAGACCCAGACAGATATGAATTGATGCTAAATGAAGTCATCTTTCAGAAACATTATGTCTATCAAGTGGCCCTTGAACTTCCCAAAACCCATGCTGAGTCCTGGCCTAATTAAATAGAATTTACAATTTAAGATATCTATGAGAGCGGTAATTTAAAGAATTCACAGTTATTTGTATATCTCTTCAATATTTGGCTATATTATACTCAAATCAATGCTTACTGATTTAATGAGTAGAACAGAATGGACAGTTGGACAGAATCTCAGTACAAATTCACACACCTTCGGTTCGTGCTTTGTATGACATTCTGTCCAACTCATGCTGAATTTCACCATATTGAATGGC